CCTCGTGCCATTATTCTTAAGTTTGTGAAACAAGCTCAACGTGATATTAATTTAGCTAACAAGATCATTCTCAAGGAACGAAGAATTTGGTTTGATCTTGATCTTAGACCTCTACATGTTGAAGCAATGAGGAAGTAGTTTGCAAAAAGTCAAAGAAGTTCAAGATGCAAGTTTTATCGCTTATCTACGTGATAGTCAAGCTATTATCACTAAGAGTAGAAGACAATAATCAACCTAGCAGTCCAAAAGGTTGAGGGTGTTGATGTATAACATAAGAGTACTATCTACAACAAAGTATATGAGTGCACATTCAATTTGAAAGATGGCGGACATCATCAACATTCTGGAGACTTGGAAGCATGAGAGCAATGCTATTAAAGAGTTTACTTTGGTAAGATCTACTTGAAACCATAGAAATTGACGAGAGGGAAGAGGCTTTGGAAGCATTGCTACTTTCATCAGATCTTGACTTCTTCCTATGATACATTTGGAAAGCCAAGATATTAGAAAACAACATCATTGGCTTTGTCTTGGATTGATTGGAACATCTTAAAGTTATTTGGCAGTTTGTTACTTTGCACCATTATCCATGTAGATCTACTCCACAATCACTTGCAATTGAAGTCAATTATTCCATCCGCTCATAAGAAATGTTCTCAAATATCAAAACAAAGGTGAAGTTTTTATTGTTGAAGACTTTAATGCTCACATAGGTTTTGCTCAATTTACACAATTTGATGGTTACTTGTCTTCTCTCTCTTTTAAAGAAAGTAGAGAGAGTTTGTGGTCTAGTATCTCTTGTGATCCTTCTACAAATGATTTGACTGAACATTTCTTGACTCTTGGAGCCACATGTAATCTGAAAGTTCTCAATGATGTTTCTTTCTTTTCCAACTTCCACTCCAATACATGTTTTTCCTCTACCGGCGTTAGCATTATTGATTATCTTTTGTCCTCTACCACCAATAGTTCATTTATCTCAACAATTTGATATTCAAGAATCTCAACTAGAATCGGATCATACACCTCTTTTATTGTCAAAGTCAATTACTCTATCTAGATATCACTATGTTTCTACTTCCCCAAGTTTTGTTTAGATCCTAGTAAGAAGCAACTTTATATTCAACATTTACAAGACCTCTTGACTCTAATTACTTAGAAACTTGATCCACATACATCTAGTTTGCAACTAACCGAGTTGTTCAAAAACTCTTCTTCTAAGTTCTTTTTGAGACATAAGAACAAAAGAGATAAAGATCTTCCTTGCAATGGATGGTTTGACTTTGATTGCAAGCAAGCAAGAGCGAGATCAGGTGATAAATCCTTGTATCTTCACAATCAGCTTATTAAGACAAGACTTTACAAAAACTTGGTGAAGTTTAGGAAAGTTTTTTTGAAGCGGAAGCAAGAGTGTTTGACAAAGGAGCTGTTGGAGATCCCAAATGTTTTTGGAGGCGGTTGGTAGTATGATCTTCCAAACCTACATTTGATTCCCAAGTCTTTGGTTTCTTTTGCTGAAAAGTTTTATATATTTCCGAATGCTACATCAATGCCACGTTTTGAAGGAAAACTTGGCTTATTTTCTGAAGCTAAAGTGATGATTCAACTCAGACAATTAGCAAATGTCAAATGTTAGGATTTGGATGGTATTTCGATTGAACTTATCAATTGGGGAGGATATGCTATTGGGCATATACTCACTAAAGTGTTAAAAAATGTTGCTAACTATGGATTTACTTCAACTTGGTGTCTATGGAGTATTGTTCCTATTCACAAATCTCGAAGCAAGAAGTTGATGACAAACTATCGGAATATCATGGTGGGTAGTATTTTTTCCAAGTTATTTGGCAAATTGATGAAGTCAAAGTTAAGCACATGGGCTGAATCTTGTCATAAGAGAGCGCAATTCCAAGCTAGGTTTTGTCCTACATTCAACACTATAGACCATATTTTAGTTTTGCGTGTTTTATGGGGAAAGTTTAAGGTTAATGAAATAGTTTTATTTTGTGCCTCCATTGATTTCAAGAAAGCTTTTGACACAGTATCTTGTGAGCTTTTATAGTAAAGATTGCAAACCATTGGAGTACCATCAGATCTTTTAGCAGCGATAGTCACATTATACCACTCCGTTCGGACCAAGATCAACACTTCTCAAATAGAAGAAATTTTGAGTATCATTGGAGTCATTCAAGGTTGTACTTTCGCTCTCCTACTTTCGTTGGAGTTTTATAGATGATATAGAAAGGTAGTTATAGGATTATGAAACTGAAGTTGTCAAACTTGGAGTCTTTGTCATCAAAGCTCTTTTGTATGCAAATGATATCATATTATTAGCACGTGATGACATTGGTTTACAAAAACACCTTGACAATTTGGCTAGCTTTTGTACTCAGAATCAGATGGAGATCAATTTGAAGAAGTCAAAAGTCATTCTTGTGGTCACTAGATCCAAGCTTTTTTTCTTTTACAAATGATTAGATCCAAGCTTTCTTTCTTTTACAAATGATTAGATCTAAACTTTTTTTCTTTTACAAATGATTAGATCCAAGCTTTTTTTCTTTTACAAATGATTAGATCCAAGCTTTTTTTCTTTTACAAATGATTATATCCAAACTTTCTTTCTTTTACAAATGATTGAAGTTGGAACAAGTTAAGAGTTACAAATATTTAGGCATTGATCTTACGATTACAATTGAGCACTTTGTGTGCAAAAGAGTGTAGAAGCTGGTTTCAAAGCTCTATATTCATTGCTAAATAGATGTAGCGGAGTTCATCTAGTGTCTTGGAATCTTAGAAAACTCTTATTGAGTAACTTAGTGTTTCTCGTTATCTTATATGGAACACAAGTGTGGGGTCAAGAAGACAGGTTGGCAGTGTTTGAAAAGGATGCAAAAGATATTCTTACAAGAAGAATTGGGTGTGAGTACTCAAACTTCATATGATATTACTCTTGCGGAAACAGGTTGTCTACCTCTTGAGGCTAAAGCTCTATTTTTGACTATCACTTACATCAAAAGAGTGAGATCTCTTGATGCTTCTCGACTTACTCTTGAAGCTTTGTGTGCCACACTTACTAAGGAATGGTTTGCAGATGTGGTGACTTGGTCTTTGAGGTGAAATGAGACGAAACCCGATTTGCAACCTATGCCCCTTAGCGAGCTTATCAAGGAGGAATTTTTCAACATTATTTGGAGCAGACAAGTCACTAAAATGAATTTTAATCAAATTCATGTGAATCCTATGCTTGTTCATTATGAGCAAGGATACTTACTTGCAGAGATCTCTACATCTTTACGTCATATTATTGCTCGGCATAGAACAAGATCTCATAGTATTGGGATTGAGGAAGAGCGTTGGTTGAACATTGATAGGAGTAAACGTATTTGTAAGCTATGTGATGGAAGAAAATTTGAGTATAAAGAGCATGTATTTGTTACTTGTACTAAATGTATTGAGATCAGAGTGGCTCATAAGGTTGTTGTTGAGAATTTTTATCCTTTATTATAGCTTGAGCCTTATGATTTAGAATTTTTTATGAGTGATGTTACTAGTTCTTGTTTTAGTGCTCTGGGTTAGCTAAGTGGTTTTATTGATTCTCTCTTGGTTTGAAGTTTGGATTGTGTTTTTTAGACTTTTGACCCTTTGGGTCCCACGGGCTTGATCTATTTACCATTCATCGTACAGTAAAGTGATATGTACAATCAAACTTATCAAAATGACTCCATTTCATTATATATCAATAATGTTACTTTGTTTATATAGATTCTAAACAAAACCATTAGATACTATGCTGGAGGTTGAATAAGTCAAATTATTGTATCTTGGAAAAACATTTGAAGTTCATAGTGTCATTCTTAAGATGTTATTTATTAAATTGACATGCTAAGATTGTTCAATTTTCAGAAAAGAATCTACTTATAAATATGGTGATTGCATAAATTACCATGTCTAAATTAATATCAAATACTGCAATGACTTTTTTTTCTTTTCAATAAAAAATATGTTTCGTGGAGTCATATTGGTCATATTCTTAAAAATAAAGTGTGATACATTATTTTAGTTAGGACTTAATGTTTATTATAACTGCTTCGTATACTTCTTCTGCTTCTTATTACTATCCCCTATGAGATAAGGTTTAGTGTACTCATGATTCATCATGAAGTTTATAATTTATGAAACAATCGTTTAGTTTTGTAGTTTTGTACTTTTACTGCATGATAATACTTAACTTAAGCACCGAACTTGATCATCTAGAAACCGTAAGTATTCATACATACCTCTCTTCATGGTATTTCATGAACTGGGAAATGATAGGCATCATGTCTCAACCCACAACAAATGTTTTGTACAGCCTCTTCTCACTTTTGTTGTCTTGTCTACTCAGATAAGGTCAGATGGTCACTCCAAACTCTTGAATGATTTTATGAAAGTGGAGTAGCCTTTCACTAATTGACATATTTTTGAGGATTATCTTGAAAAGGCTAGTTTTGAAGATCATGTGTAACTCTTGCGTCACACCCATGCACAATACTTTTTATCGAAGGAACTAGATGTCATGGATACCAGAGATGAAACTATTGTTGCCAGTAACTTCAGTTCAAACCCTCATGATCGAGGGCAAGAAGTCCTCCGCTCATGTGTGGCCTGTAATCAAGAGAGTTTACGTACGTTGGCAAACCATCATCCCCGGTATCACAAAGCGGTGTCTAGTTCAAAGTCTAGTTAGAGTTATCTCTTAGTGAGCAAACAGCTTTGGCCATACTACTCAAGTCTTCTCACAAAGATTGTCAGGTGCTTATTCTTATGTTGGAAACAATATTCAAGTGGGGCTCCTCAAGATCTTCAGCACGTAAGAATATGATACTGTGCTGGCCCATAAGATTTCACAAGAGGGCAGATATTGCACTCATTGCAGTACTTTTGCTTCCCGATTCTCTGCTATGAACGTGCGCGAGACAGCCAGGCGAGCTAAACAATGTGCATGTAAAGAAAGTTCTTCGCAGGGAACAATGTTGTGGTTTGTTGCTATTAGCCTGATACACTTCGATCTTCTTGCAAGAGATACTTGCCTCAAGAGATGACACAATTCAGAGGAAAAATCACTTCGCATCTCACAGCCTAAAAAAGTCCTAGATTTCGTCGTTAGATGCTACACAAATCTATCTGTGATGATCGTCATGCAGAGTCTTCCCTGAAATTTGACTCAGGAAACAAAAGGAGCCCTCCACAGTGCTCTAATGTAAAGTCTCAACATGTAAAAACGTTGACATCTCAGTGATTCATATTTACGCTAGGCACGGAAACTAGAGCTACAACAGTATAGTACAAGGCTGTACAACTCATGGGCAACATATCAGTGAGTACAGTGCCTTAAATCCGACTAGCTACCCTTCTTAAACAATTTAGTGGATGGTATGATACATAATGTACATATTCGATATCAAAATTTCACGGTGTGAGCCGCGGTATGTGCAAAACTTCTCCTTGGGCAAGGATGGACACTGAACCGGCAAGAACTATGAATCAGCTACCACTCAACATAGACCAGATGCATTATATCTATAAATTACATTGATAGCCCTGCCGCCATCATCCTGCACGAGCTTGGACAAGAGCTCGTCCTTCACTTCTGAAGGAGATAGCTCCTGGAGAAACTCACCAATATTCGTCGTGGTTTTGCCGACTCGGTCAAGGAGAACCTTGGAGAGCTTTTCTTTATTCACGGATCTGTTGAAGAGTTCCTCCTCTTCCCTGTTGTTGGTAACTAGCCGATAGACATAAACTTTTCTCTTCTGACCGATTCTAAAAGCTCGACTTACCGCCTGTCTCACAACTGAAGGGTTGTCAGGGCTGTCGATAATGATGACCCGAGAAGCTCCAACAAGAGTTATACCCTCCTTACAGGCTTTGATCGAGGCCATAAGAACATGGGCCTCTGCCCCCTCCTTCGCTTGCTTATTATTGAATAGACTAATTACAGCTTGACGATCGTGTTCTGCCATTGTACCATCAAGTCGGACGATTTGTTGTCCTCGAACCCAGGCCCATTTTCTGATAAAAACCTCTTCTATGTAGCTCAGCGGAACCAGGTTAGTACTGAATATCAAAAGCTTTTCATTGGCCTTGACACACAATTCCGCAATTCGAACTATAAATTCTATTTTCACCCCCTGAAACGCTTCTGCTTCTAGGTTTTCTGAAGTTACTGAACCCAACAGACGCTCCGGATCAAGACGCTCGATATTCTCCTCGTACTTAACTAAAGATGGGTGTATACAAGCTGCCAACACCTTGCAGTATCTCGACATGTGATACCTTCCTCTTGTGGGCAATTCTGAGATAACTTTCTCTTGCAGTTCAGTCAGATTGAGGTGCACTGAGAATTCGACCAAGCCGGGAAGGGTCTCTAATATTTTACCCGGATACCAGTGGACAAAAGAGGCAGTCAAGGCGCGGAGATTTTGAACAACGCTGTTTATTCTTTCCGTCTCCTCTTCGGATGAAACCCCGTGTCTCACATAATTTTCCAGTATGTCTCCGAAGTCGTGTGTAAAGATGTTTTCTTCGTGCTGACGACGCGAGTTTGTCTTTTGTCTCAGAGAAGAAGTTGGGTTCGTTCCTCCATTTTTTACCACGGAGGCACCGCAAAGTTCGTCTAGTCTTCTCGCATAATCTGGACGTGACGTCATAAAATCTTCTCGGCACAATTTCAAGAGAGTGTAAAGCTCCTTGAAATTATTCTGGAACAACGTACCTGAAATGAAAATGAAAGGAGAAGGTTATGACAGGCCACAAACTTAGAAGACATGCCATGTCAATATGATAGGTCAGAAAAAATAGAGACTAGAATTAGGTGACAATGTGAAAGACATATCCAATCACACTTCTTAAAACACGGACAACCAACAGAGCTAAGGGACAAAATGGGGAACGACAAGGCTTTATCTAAAAACGACCTATACTTTCAGTCCTTCAGAAAAAATTAGAAAGGAGTTTACACTTACAGTGTAAGTGAAAGTCAAAACTGCTTAAAACAGAAAGTATCTCAGATAGAAGCATATACAACTGAACATACCTGACAAGAGTACTCTTCGTTTGGTTCGCATTCGCATGAGACATCTCAAGATCTTAGTTTTCTTTGTTCTCGCAAGATGACCTTCATCCAACACAACCAGATCTGGAGCATCTAATAGAACCTTGGAGATTCGATGATCCAAAGACTCTAACAAAACCTTCTCGCTCAGACCTTTCTCAGTAAGAATTGCGAACAATGTATAGCTCATCAACAATACACCTCGACTTCCTTGCCATTCATGTAGCACTTTCGCTCGGTTCTCCTTCAAATTCAACTTTACGTGCGCAGGCAAGCAGGAGTCGCCTTCACCCTCCTCTTCATCGTCATTCACCCCAACAGGGTTACATCCATTAAGATCGAAGGTGGGTATGTCCTCGACCTTAAACTTCTCAAACTCATCTTTCCATGTTTTCAGCATGATCTTTGGGGCAAGGATGATAGGTCTCCCTTCAGGGAATCTCGCTAAAAAGCTCTGAATGAAACTGACCATCAAGAATGTCTTCCCTGTACCTGGAGCATGGGCTAATATACATCCCACTGATGCACCGTGTTTGTCACCAAGTAGATTCTTCGTAAGGAAGGTGAATCCGTCTCTTTGATGAGGGTGCAACTTTTCATCGTAGAGAGGATGCAGGTGCAAATCAATTTCTCCTTCAACGATACCTGGCTCTTCATTCGAATTCACATCTCGTACTCTAAGATTGACTCGTGAAGTTGCACCCATTACCTCATGCTCCTTAGGCTCTGAGATCTTCGGCTTGGCAGGTGTCTTCTGTTTGAAGGCCTACATGGTACAAACAGTTGTAATCCAGTAAACCATTTAAAGCTCTGCAGGAAAGTGCAGAACTACGAAACACACCATCTGAAATTGTGAGAACTAAAAGAAACTGATCGATGAGAAACCATCAAAATAGCACGTACATAAAAATCTAGACCCCACATCTACTCGTCGTCTAAGAAATTAGGCGAAGTTACTCACCTCGGCAATGAAGGTCTTTTGAATATCACGTCGAACTAGCCCACAAAGCAGGCAATATTGACCAACCTCGTCCTTGTAACCATGAAACTTGTGGTCACATGGCTTCTTCTGTACACCAGAATTTTCATCCTCTGCAGACTTCGTCTTTTCCTGAGGTAGATCTAAATCCATAGCTCCACAATGGTCGCAATAGTAACCCATGTCCTCGTCAAAGTCGATATGTACATGCTCACCATCCTCACAAACCTTGCGCACTTCGCCTGCATAATCTTCTATTCCATTCCCCTTCGATACAGAATCTATTGTGTTTTGTACAGGTAAAGGATCCTGCAGAAATAAGAGTATGTTCCAAATTTTATATCTCGTTGAGGTCAATATAAATATGGCAATGTACGGATGTAAAATTTCTTACTTTCACGTTGGTCGACAATCATGTTCAGGGTAAGCAATCTAAGCACAAAGATCTGAAAGGGCAATAACGTAAATGGGACTAGTTTCAGGACACCTGAGAATTCAGTCCTGTGTAAGTTTTCACAGGAGGGAGCAAGATAAGAATGTGGCAATATGACTGCAGACTTGTCAGACGATGTCTAGTTCGAAAACAATACAAGTTCTCCTACTTTCTGAGGTGGAGCTTCTAGTTAGTAATAGGGAGACTTACAACATTCAGAGTTGAAGAGACGGCTACAACGGTGGCCATATCCTGCCATACATCATCAAGCCCTGAATCTTCCTCGTCTATGTCATCCGTATTGTTCCTCCACACATATGGTTCGTAAACCACTTTCTCTCCATTCAACCTGCTAGTTATCTGACGGACCTCTTCCTCAGGTTCGACCACCTTCTTCGACGACTTCTCAGTATGATCATTTCGTCCCCGCAATTCATAATCCTCCTCAGAATCCTGGTCCTCCTTCTCCTTCTTGGACAACCTTGCTTTCTCTGCTAATAGCTTTCTCTTCCACCTGTCTTCTCTTCGTTCTTGTACTAGTGCCTTCTCCTTCTCCTTCTCCTTTCGTTTCTCTGCTCTTTCTTCTGCTGAGATTTTGGGCGTTTTTTCCTTTAGCTTTTTTACCACTGACCCCCCTATAATGTCGGTAAAATCCTTTCCACTCAAGTTCTTCCAGTTCAAAGCGGCATCGCTCTCCTGCAATAGGTGTCAATTTTTTCGTGATGCTAATTTGTTCTCAAGACGAGCACATTTAAGAATAATCATGCTTAAGTTTAGCTAAGCGGACTAGATCATGCCTGATACATGATATGAACAAATTCAACGGTGCAAGAGAAGTCTTTCTAAATGTCACTAACGTAGGCCTGGAAAGATGCTAAAGTAAAAAGATGGCTTGCATGGGATAGATATATTCTCTAAACTAAAGATATATGTCACGAAGAGTGCTGTAGATTTACGGCATGAGATTTAATCAGCCAGCATGCTGTCACTTGATGGCGACTATGATCCAATCTTGATCTAGCACCGCTCAGCAAGCGGCGAGGTCTGTGATTTTCAAGCAGATTAAAAGATAATTGACGGCACCAAACATGGCATAGCATCCTGCTAAAGAAATCAACGGGTTCAAAGGACAGACATTCTTTGAGTATCAGAAACAGAAGCCTGCAAGTGAGACGCGGAAAAGGGAAGGAGCAAGCAACAATACTGGGATGAGGTTCATGGTTAGAAACAGAACGAGTGCACGCGTAGTGAAAGAAGAATGTGCGGTATGGTTCCTCGAATCAGATGCCATCAGAGCAGAAACCAGGGACCATCAACATCATCCACCCGATGGCCATCACTCCATTGTCGTATAATCCCCGCTGCTTTATCAATGGAGTACCGCGGTGAGTAAGTTCGTGCACTGCACCGCGCGGAGGTTCAGGATAACAAAAAATACAACAATTCATGGAGAGTTTCCATAAAAGTCGACCACACTTAATGAAGATATTACAAGCATATAATTAGCAAGGTTGAGTGTAAGTACTATACGAGTGGTGAAAGATACACTGAAGTTATAACAAAAACAAAACCAGCAACAGTCTCATTGAGAAGTTTGAGGAGGACCCGCAAGAATAGCATGAGAAGAAGAGAACAATCGGTCAACAAGGATGAGTACATTAGTGTGAAGTACAATGATTCTCAGGTTACTGAATATATTGTACGAGACCAGGTTTGCTTAGAAGAGGTTCCAAAACATCGAAACCCGAGATGAGAGTTAAGAAGGATGAGGGCAAAGAGTTCATAGACAGAAATTTCTTAAGCAGAAGCAAGAAGAGGACCTGAGACCTGGCACAAACTAATGAATACGATATGATCGAACCTTGAGATCCATGGAGTCCAGATTAGTATAAGTGGTACTCACAATAAAAGTTGGTATTGACGGTATGCCAATCTTATCAGTGTCCTCGTTATCTGAGTCGATAGATATAATTTGATCCTGCATAAAAGTCACTTTTTCCTTCCTGGCTGCCTTCTGCTTCTTCTTTAATCTTGTCTCTTGAATACCAGCGCTGAACTCCTGGATTCTCAATAACAGAGTAGGGGAATAAATTTGCGGTTCGCATCAGTATACTAACGACAAATTCTCGAATCCTGACTAAACGTCAAAACATTCCTCACGTTTTACACGCATGTCTGTTACCTTTTACTTTCCTGTTATTCTAATATCAAATCAGATGAGCTTACTTGACACTCCTTGGAAACATAAAGCTTTCAGATTATTGTGGAGACAAAGAGATCCACTACACTCCAAGACATAAAGGATAGCATGCAAAATCAGATTACGCAACCACGGCGGGAGTAAAGCTATTACTAACTGCCTTGTAGACTACACTGTATACATTGGAGTGCTTCCTTCAATCCGTAAGAGGTTAGGAACAATATCGAAGTGGAAAGATCACCACTTGACCTGTAATAGGGACGAACAATTATCACTCTGGATGGTATCTGCAATGCTTCCAAATATGGAAACCCTGTGAGCGATTTGAAAAACTCCGAAAGAGAGTGGACATCATAAGCAATTCCTTCAATTGAAAAGTGGAGTGTATGTGCTTACTGCCTTGTAACCTCCGGCTAAAAGTTCAGCCCTTTCATTCCAGGTGGCTTCATCAACCTCGTTGTCGTTAATCTGCAGCAAATCTCGAGGCACCTGAAACACGTGTGCTTCATAATCAACATCTTCTTGACCGTTGTTCACGCCTAATCCCTTGCGTTTGAACTGATAATTTTCTGCGTTTGGAAAAGGACCATGCTGAAAGGGTGGCAAAACGTTAACAGGAGCCGTAACAGTACAGTCCTGAACCACTTCACCATCTTCACGAGACTCATCATCCGACGAGAGATCCACAAACACTCGGGCCTGAGAAACACCAGTGGAGGGAAAGTTGGCGGCCTCGGACTGAAAGTTGGTCTGATTATTCTCTTGAACACCAGCTTGGGAGTTATCTGATAAACACTCATTTGGTGGATTTGTAGAACTTGGTAACCTTGCAATCATGGAATTGCAAACCCGTTCAACACCTGCGAGCTCTTCCATGACCTGCTGCATATCCACGCATTCCAGGAATGCACTTTTGCATCCCATCGATACAGGATATGACAGGCCAGAATCAGTTATCGGAGCCATCACCTCACTTCCTGCAGAATAAAGCGTGCCGTATGATGTTCTCTGTCAGCATCTCTCCTTCACCCTAGGTAAAGTGCCAACTCTTATAAAAACCTTGCCAAAGATTACAGTGTGATGTCTTATATTGCAGACCACATGGTAATTAAACCGAGTGGGAGGCAAGTTACAGGATTTAGCCAAGAGACACTAACTCTACCCGAACGTTTGAAATAAGGTGACACCTTTCCGTAGACAAGAGTCCAAAGTCCTCTCCAATACCAAATCCTCACTATTCAGATCTTGCAATGCCAACATACTACAAACTGCCCATGCATCTGCCCAGCCTTTTTATTGATCACCTTAGACAGAATGCAACCTTCCAGAACAAAACTTGTGCAAAATCTATATTTTCTCGTTTGTAAAGCGAATTGATCCTCGTCTACCGGCCCATTGAGACGTCAGTTTTGAATCCGCCACAAAGATCAGAGCAAAAGAGTCTTGAATGTCTCTGTTTTCTTCTTTCAGATTAAGTCTTCTTCATCAGTGGTCACAAAGATAAATAATGAAAGATGAAATTTCATTGATGATAAGAAGAGTTGACGCGTAACTTTAAAACAGGAATTTGAAGTTTAGTGGCACCAGAAGGATAAGCCAATATTATTAAGAGACGATTGGAAAAATAACATAACGCTGTGAAGACACAGGATGTGAAAAGTTGAAAACATTTTCAGAGGTCATATAGAGTTACCAAAAAGTTTCATCCAGGGATTTATCAAATAAACTCTTACCAGCTAGCTCCACTGATGTCGATGATATCGGAGAGGCCTCTGGTGGCCTCCAACTCCCATATCTAGTACCATTGGTATCCATGATATCTGGGGAGCAAATAAAATCATCACAAAAATCCATCATTATCTTGAATCATTAATGTTATCCTTTAACACCCCCTCTTCATGTCCTGTAATGGCTTCTGAAGAAAGTTTCTAGGTCTTTGTACAACATAGCTCTGCCTGGAGCATTCAAACCTAATTGGAAAATGGATTCTGCGAGGTAAGTTACTTGAAGATGAACGGATTGACAACACTAAGAAACGATAGTGTCACCTGGGATACGAGCTAAGATAATCTGATCTGAGTTGAATAAAATTAGAGAGAATTGCTCTTGCTTGTAATGTAAACTAGTTTGCAATCTAGTTTCTTACCAAGAATATCAATTTTAAAACTTCTATTTAGAAATTTACCAAGATCTATCAAATTTCTCTTTCATCATTTTGATCATATCACACTTTCCCACCTTACTTTTCCATGGTACTTTGTCGTGTCATAGTGACAGTCTTTACAAAAAAATTACTGCGATAAGCTGAAAACTGTGCAGTTGCGAAGAAGTCTGAATATTCTGAGGTGTATTAGAAGGAATCATCCAAGAACTTACATCAAGCTTTTTGAAACATTGTAACAAGCTTCGATACATGCTGCCTTATCGTCAATAGCTCCTTCGCTATCCTAACGTCCATCAATTACCAGGACTCCTTGCAGATTCACATACGGGTTCTCTAGTACCTACAACCACAGTAGCAATTTCAATTAGCTCGGGGGCAATGGAACTCTTCCCCAAGAGATGAAGCAACTAGCTATTGTACAACCTGAGCTACATATACATTACAAAGACTTCCACCAGCTGCAGGTATCCTTGAATCTGAGTTTCGCTCAAATGCCATTTAATTCTACATACACACTTGCACAGTTACGTCAAGGATCCCCTAATAAAAGGCCTATCCTGTCTACTAGTATATCTAGCTCTGACTCTTCAGGCTTTCATTCTCAAAGAGTTAGATTGCCTTCGGGTTCTGGGACCAAATTATACTTGCATTGTATTTCTTCCAATAGGAAGGTGCCTCTCGACAAATTCCTCACGTTTCTGCGGCTCGCATCTGATCTTAGATAATACTAATCCTAGCCTTCACTCGGCTTCACAACTGCTGGATAGAAGTATTTCGGATGAGAATGCAGATTCTCCTGTTACCGGCACGAATGCAAGAACGTTCATGTCGTCGTTTCTGTCATTGTCTAGAGTTCCCTCGAATCCAATATTCTTCCGCTGAAAATGCCACTCGTTCGACACACCCATCTGTCAATGTCACCTCCGATCGAACCGAGCCCTTTACTCTGCAATCGCAAGCCACTCCTCGGAGAAAAACCAAAATGAGAAAGAGCTCCAGCGCCTCCACTCATCCTTGCGACTGCAACCCCATAACTATTCGGAGCGGAGTAAAAACTAACTCATCATCGACTAGGCGAGCCCATTTACGTCTCACGTCACTCATCCCATCGCAGCATGACAACCAGAGCTGCCTGGATTCAATGCCGAGCTTCGTAAAGAGACATGTTGTGCTGAATGACCTCCTACAAACTCTGCTGATCTCGCCTTCCTAGGGCGAAGCTCCACTCCTACAGAATAATTCCTCCATCGCTCTCACCCGCAGAACATCGGAATCCATCGTCCGTACATCGCTGCGTTGTTCTGATGTTGTGGCGACCTGACCACCCAGCCCAGCAGAGCAGCATGAATCTGCATGAGACGGCGTACGATTCCTCAACGACCATACTGACGTACCCGACTCATTACTACCCGAAACCGGACAAATGTCCGCCACCACAAGCCACCAAATTGAAGTCGCCAAATTCTGGAGAGCCCTCCGCTTCACTACCCTCTTCTCGTCGCTCCTCGTCTGCAATTTCTCCAGCGTTCTGTCCCGCTCGCCTCAAGGAGCTGGCAGGCGTCACGGCTCGGCCGAACTGAACTTTCGAAATGTGCCCACGCCGCAGGCCCGTCTCCTCGAACGATCACTGCCGTAGCTCCCCGAGAAACCGCCGGTAAGTCGCAAGGAGGGGAGATCTGCGCCGTGACGCCGCCTCCCGAGTCCCGGCGAGCTCCTCCGGTTGGAAACCCGGAATGATTGCTCCACAAACCTCGGCTAATTTCACTGAAGCCAAGTCCGGCAAATCATACGCCACTGCACCGACGTTCGAATCCGCTCTTCGTGAACCGTACACGTACTCCGAATCCAACAATCTTAACGCTTTCATCCGAAATCCAGGTGACCAAAAATCTACATTTATTTATGACGTGGATGGACTTGTGAAAATTTAGATGCAGTAGATAGATTGTGATTGATTATCACAACTACGTTGCCCTGAAACGAAGTGTACGATGTATGATGGTGTCTCCTCGTCGCAGTGTGCAAGTCCACCCAACTTCGATGGAGTTTACTACGGTTCCCATGAAGATGTCCGGTTCCGATCACCCTGCCTACGCCGGTGACTACAACACAGATAAATTAATTATGCGTGTGGGTACACGGTTCAACCCCAGTAACCATGTAAAAAAGCGCAACACTTTGTTTTGAGACGTGGTCGGACTTTAGCGACGACCGAGTGGTACTGTACTGTACAGTACTGCACAGTACACAATTGTCAGAATTCACTTACTGCAGTCGGAAGAAGAAAAGACGCCGTCTGTGGATGGGACTTTGAATACGAGAATATTTTCTCGAAAATTTTCTCGAATGCGAGATTTCTCTCGTATTGGAAAAATATTTGTTGAGTCCGGGCTCAGTTTCGAGGATTCTTGGTTTGGATAATAACTGGCCACGTTAATTGGGAGGAACTTGACCGTCCCCACCCGAGGACTGGGTCCTCTGAAACGTGGCATCAGTACAGAAGTCAGTGTACCGACTCTGAGAACGGGAATGTATCTGCATCCCGATAAGAACAGGAATGCCTGAGTCTTGGGCCGCTGCTGTCTTACTAAACAGTTGGGCTCCTGTATCGAATGGCTCCTTCGAATAAAATAACAACAGCACCTTTCCATGTACTCTGTACTGTAAGGTGATAATTCATCCGCCCGCCGGTGAGTGGAGAATCCAGTTGTTCAATTTTTTAACACCACCGTCAGATTTCAGCTCACATGCATCTAAATACGAGTTTTCATAAGAGACCGTTGGATGGCTCGCTCGACGTCATCATAAAAAGAAATGGAAATAATTTTCCTCTCTGGCCTCTTAAAAATGACTCATTCACGACAAACCGCATTCCATGAGTCCACCAAATCGGCCCTGACCCGACACCCTCCACCAGATCCGGGTCCCCGTTAGGCGGTCGATGGGCTTGATGTGCAATCCCGGTTCCCGGTGGACCTTGCCGCAGAGAACGACCAACAACGCCTTCCAGCCGAAGTCCTAAGACGCACTTACCTTTCCACAGCTCTGCGAAAGTAGACACCCAACAGCGTGGATGACGACTACCTGGTGACTATCGGATTGGATTTCTGGGTTGAGCGGACGTTTGACGTCGTAGTATAATCTTGGATATGTCACTAGATTTTATTCGATTTCTTCCATGAGTACTGTCCCCAGTTGCAGTGCGCCAGCCCATTCGTCCGAAATTGTTTATTCCTAGGAGTCCCATCCTCAGAATCATATGGCGTTTAATCTCACCGTTATATTAAATAAAAGAGATGTGGTTTTGAGGTTGATGACTTGCCCCATGTTACCAGTTGAGTTTCATCCATGTAGGACTAGATGGTAATGTGGCACCTCTTAAGGTAGCAGAAAGGTCCTGTAACAACTAGATGAGGTCGTCCCATCCTTTTCGCTCTATTACTCGGTGCCCTTCTTCAAGGGCAGCGGTAAAGGTTTACATCACTTTCTTAAGAAATAATGCGGCCTCAATAGAGTAGATACAAGCAATCACTGTTGTGAAAAGTGATTTCAGCGCTTGGAAGACAGTTTACACATACGAAGAAGTGGCGTGTTACGATATACACACATAAACGTGAGCATATTGATTTTAAGATACTAAATACATGTGATGAGTAGTGTATAAATTTTTGCACACATGTGAAGAGTCTATATAGTTTGAACTTTTGTTCATCTCCGCTATTTTGCATAATCTTTGATTTAAATAAGTGTATTTAGTAACATTTATAGAATACAAAATTATGAAAAATACATATTTATCTTGTGTGACTTTCAAATTTAAAATTTCACATAGATTTGTAAACCTTTGTACGTTTTTGATAATTTGTTGGTTATTGAGTAATACTTGAAGTTAAAGGTCGGTATGCTCAAGGCTCGGCTAATGACTAGTCAGCTAATTGTTTTTGTTACCTTGCTCGCCGTCGACTTATACACTCAATAAGCCGACTATACTAGCGGAGTGTGTTGAGCTTTCTCTCGTTCGGCTTCTTCTACAGCACCATTCTCGTTGAGCTCACGAACAAATTTATGATCCACAGCTCACAACCTAGTTGAATAATTGAGTTTGATGAAATTGTTGCACAAACAGTTACGATTTGTTGTGGCAATAGCACCACTATCCAAAAACATAAACTCGTACAACATCGAAGATTCCATGCATATTCACGTGTCGCGTACAATGATTGACAATCGCAGAAAGCGTTTGCTATCAATTCCTTCGCATCATACAATTGCATTGTTGCATGATTGGTCTTTCGTCTTGATACAGTGCAAAAGAATTCATGATCTCTTTTGATACATCATCTCGTTCACTGTTCGATTCAAACATTGAAGCTAGTGCTCTAGCAATAAGTATGCTTTAGGTGTTATTATTAAACATGGAAGACGCAATATGTTCATTTGTGTCTTTGATATCATATTGTTGTCAAACAATTTTTTAACGTGTCGTCAAAGGTCTATTTTTTCATCAATCTTTGAAACTGTAGGATCAAAAGATAGTGCTAGCGTTGGTAGCGGGCCAATCAAATGCTTTTCATACTTCTTCAATTTTGCCATCAACGCTTTTGCGACATTCTTCATTTTGTATCATTAATGGTTTTTTGGCAATGTGTCTTGAGCGATTTATTTATATAAACCAGAGTTTGACATCTTGTTCACTAATAGAATGATCATCTTGTAGCCGGAGCAAGGAAACTTTAGAAGCACTTCAATAGCCTTCACCCAATTGTACTCAAATTTATAATTTTACCATAGTGTTTGGAGATGTTTGAAAATGATAAAAAAATCCTCCATCAGTCTTTATGACAAATTAATCATTGTGAACCTGGACAATCATCAATTCTCGACATCAAGTCCAGATACATTAGTCTCATGTTTTTGTGCCCCTTAAGAAATTGGGAGCATTGTGCAAATTTTCTTTACTTCCAATTTGATTATTGCTTCATTGTCAATTATGATAGAATGCATTATATGACACACACATTGAAGATGTATCATCTATAATTTAGATTGACCCACACTTGTTGTTCACTTCCTCTTGTAGAAGTTGTAAAGCAAGAATCATTTCATTGGCATTGTTTGCCGTTGGAGCTAAAATCTTTGTATGCACACTTGTTAGTATTAACTATCTCAAAACAAAGGTTATTATGGATCATTGATTGTGAGACCATGAAAAATATTGAAAATCAAGAATGCAATCGCGTAACGTCTAAGAATAATCTATTCAATGAAGCGTAATGACAAAAGAATTTTGCAAAGTTCTGGTGTATTGTCCATTGCAAATGATTGTAACTCTTCTCAAAATTGATTCAACACTTTCATGAAACTGTTTGGTAGCAATTTTAGTAGAAAATCTTGTAGGCGAGAGCAAGATTATTGATGGATTGAAGGAGATTGCAATTCGATTTGGTGAAAATTTAATACAATAAAATACATATGGTTCTAGAAGTCATGTATTATATTATATTATATTCTATGTATAATACTCTGGTTAAATACATGTCAGTCATTGCTTGTTGCACCGCTCCATGAAGAATATTGCCACCAACAATGAAAATATAACAACAATGCCACAATTATCAGAATCTTCATCCGACTTCAATATCAATGGAGACATGATCTGATCTATCATAGTCACAAAATTTCATTGTCATGCGAGATTTTCTAATGCAAGTAGGGTCTGTATCATATAGATTTTACGCCTCTTAAAACCTTGATGTCACGTGATATTATTCTAGTCAGACTCTTGAGTCTTTGCTCTTGTTTGCATCTGTAAATTACTATGTTCTTGTTCCTTAGTGATTTTCTACTTTTGTCAACGTGTGGTTGTTTGTGTAATGTTTATGCACTAAAAATCAGCACAGTAGCTTCAATTCACATCAACTTAGCTTTAATTTGCATCATCTCATCTCATGTACACTTCTTTCCAACGTGACTTGTCCTCAATCATCCTCACCTTGTCGTTCATCCCACGAAACAATACATGATCTCTCTTGTCTTCTACGCATCTCACTTTGAGCACCAACTACTCCATCAAATCCACTACATTTCAACATTTGAGATAATATCTTTTTTTGTCAATCAAATAACCAATTGAACCTAACTTTAACATTAGGGTCTAGAGATAAGTTCACTCGAAGATGAAAACATTAACTCTGAAGAAGAGAGATATTAACAATGATCATACTCTCACCTATATAACTCTTACCAGCAAGTACAAAGAGATAAAGTTTCATCCTCACCATCCAATCCACTCTTAGTGAAATGATGACATGTCAGATATACCTAAAGAGCACACGGATTGCTAACGTGTCGCTACCAACTAACACAGCAACTAACACACTCAATCCTCACCTAACAAGCACACGTATTGATGATATGTCATTCCCAACTAACACACTAACTAGCAAATTCAACAAGCACACGGATTACTGCCATGACATTGTAGATATTTCATTATCATCTACTCTACTCAATTTTGAGTAACCTCTACTTTAGTTCAAACTAACTAAAGATGGTTACTCTATCTTACTCTACTATGAATTTGCTTACTTTCACCACCGAACAAGAACTATACAAGCACAACAAGAAAGAAAATTTTTCTCGTTCTTTCTCTCAGAGAACAAGACCACGCTCCAACTGGATTGCGGATGCAACTACGTAGTTGACTTCGCGATCATCACACGTTTCAGACTTGCAAAATCCGCGACAAGTCAATTCGCAAATAGCTAGCCTGCTAGTTGTTTGTAATGGCTAGGCAAACGTGAATCTACTATCTGATCATGTCTAGTTAAATGGTGATCGCGTGAAAGCAACCAGAATTCAAACACGTTGTTTGCGTTTTACTTATTGATAATATACATTTGAAATTTATGTCAAGAGTCTTCTACTTCTTTGGCAAGATGTTACAATGTTTTTTTGCAATTCCACTAGGATGTAAACATATATACTCGTAAAGCTTTTTGTTTTTATTTATCAAAAGTTGGGATCCAATTTCCCGACCTGGTTATCACTTTGAGAATAAGTTGTAAAAAACCAGTATTTTTTTCTCAAGCAATATGGAAATTCTGCCTCTTTCGAATTGTTGCTTTAAATCTTGATGTGATACAAGATAAGTACATTGTAATTGCAATCTTGATCTATCAAAAAAACTAAGGTTGTACTTGTCGTTTTGAACCATAATGCTAAAGTTAAAGTCTGTAGTTTAGAATTCAATAAAACCATCAACTTAGTGAAAGCGCAATATCAGCACTTATTCTTTATGTGTTGCATGTTCAACTAGTAGTCGAATATATGACAGAATTTGTCAATAAGATAATCGTCTACAAGTCTACATTTAATGCAAAAGTTGATTCATAATACCATTTAGCAAAAAAGATAACAAGGAAAAATTTTTACTTCATTTATAAATTTTATTTATTATGATCAATGATGAATTCTTTTATAATTTCAAGATGTGAAATGTGAAAAATTAGTTTAAAATCTTAATATAAATTATATTAATCTATAATGAATAATTAATTCGATATGTTCAATATTGCAAATGTGTTGTTTTCAATATCTTACTTTTTGAATGCATTCAAAATAGAAAATTGTCATTATTATATATTCTTTAAATTATATTTTACTTATATATGATGTTAAGTGAAATCAATGTTTTCATACTCAAATAATAAGTCAAATAATTTTTCCTTACAAAAACTTATCTTAACTTTATTTACTTAAACAAATTGCCCATTAGATATCTGGTTTTTATACAATTATTTTTTGATATTAAATTTATAATTTAAATAATTAAAAAAACATCATTATTTACATATTGTGTTGAACAATAGTTTTATAATATTATAAAAATTATGAGGGAAAAATAAAATTGAGTTAAATTTCATTCAAAAAAACTTGGATAAATCTTTTTCTATTTTTGTCCCGGTTTAATCATAGTGAAGATAAAAGAATTCTGATCACAAATAGATTTGATAATGAATATTGTAAGGTTTCATATTTTCCTCTGTAATATACTTGAGTCAATTTCATTCCAATATAGTGAATGACTTAATCTTCAAGCAAATTATGTTTTGGAATATTCATACTACTTTGGTTTATAATAACATTTTATACATAATACAATCCACGATGTTTTTTTAAATAAAAATTTAGAAATTATTTCAAATCTTCTGTATTGATCTACATCTATATTTTGACAATGAGTATAGTATGAAATATTCTGATATGCAAACATTTTAAAAGTTGCAGAATTCTTTCAGAAAGTTTTTTTTACCTTAATGCATGATCAATTGAGATATGAAAGTTTTTATTGTAGTTCAATCATGTGCAAGTTAGCAATATAGTATATTCTTAAAAAATAATTCGAGACTTTTTATTTATTGTGATTGATAGTTGGACCATGAATTCATAATAGTATTACCGTAGTTGTTGAAAAATTGATTAAAGAGTTCATTGTATATATCTCAGTCATAATTAAAATTGGTAATTCTGGAATGAATAAACTTATTCACGTGGCAAGGTCTGGTATTGGTGATCAATTTTCCTTTGTGCATGGCCTCACAGCGAATCACGATGACACTTCTACTTAATCGATTTTTCTGTTGTTGCTGATGTCGTTGTGGCAAGGTGGAAGTGGGTGCACGAGCTGTTATACGGTCTCTTCTCTGGGAGAACACAGCCGGTCAAGGCTGTGCTCGAGATTCACGAGAAAGGAGCCTCTTCGGAGCAATTCTGCTCGAAGTGTTGTGGCTTCAGCTTCTCGGAGAAGAAGCTGGTAGCGAACTAGAGATCAAGTTCACAATTCCGTCGGTGGATCGGGAAGACTTTTTGAGCGAATTGAGAGTTCTCACTCTGTCGTCTTGAGACTTTGGAATTCGACCTCTTTAGTTGCAGAGCCAGAGTTTCGGGAAAGGGTGTAAACTCATCTGTCAATACGTCGCGATGGCAGGTGCAGCAGTTGCAGCTGCTGGGCCAGCGCAGTGGGTTCAAGCAAATGTCACCGGAAATGGTCTTGCAGTTCTTACCCTGGATCGTCCTAAAGCCCTGAATGCCATGAATCTTGGTAAGTGCTTTTTGGAATTGATTTGAATTTAGTGATGTAATTGCTCAATTGCGGTGTTGGCGGCCCCATGCATATACTGCATTCTCTAGCGAAGTGCGCTCTACGTTTCATATCGTGGAAATTTAGCTACATAAACAGTAGCTCGGATTAATGAACTTAGGCATTTTGCAATGCCGACCTCTTGTGGACCTGCACCCGTGTCATGAGTTGTCTCGTGTGGTGCACCTTGGTTTTCTCACACCCCTTCATGCTAGCTACCAATTCCTTCCAATCTGAGAAAACAAAGCAGTTCACTTAAAATTAAGAAGTTTGAATAGATTGGCCTTTTTAGATGAGATTGCTTTACAGTTTCCGTTGAGAAAGAAGTAATGAGCAAGCGGATCGTTATGAGTAGTGAACTAAATTAGACCTCAAACAGGTCATGGGAGTTCTCTCAACTGATGCAGTTGGTGTTGTAGGCCTTTTTACGCAAAGGGATTCCTGTAACCTGAGGTTCTTTCTTCAATGCAGTTGTTGCAATTTGCCAACAGTTCAATTTTCCCTTCATCACCTTAATGTTTTAATGATGATATTTGTGTGTCATGATTGTTGAGCCGCGAGGAATGCTGGGTCTGAGTGAGAACATGATAGGTGGGACACTGTAGGTGATGTGTCTTAGGGCCATAGTGGTGAGAGTTACTCCGTTGTAGTCGCTTTACGTCAAGGCTCTGTTACGGAGGTGCACAGGGAGGAAGTAATTTGCATGTTAACTGCTTGTGTGTATCAATCTCTTTTGTGGAATTTATGGTTAATGTTGTTTGAGGGATCGCAGTAGTGACGTGGGGAGAGTTGCCCTCATGCAAGCAACTTCAGTCAATTTACTCTGATGGCTCCTTTCTCGGTGTAGACATTGGAGCTAATCATTCACTGTAACTTTCGTTGTGCTCCCAACCTGCCAAAGTACACGTAAAGCTCTGCACGAGGCTTCTGCCTGTTTTTCCAAGGAAAATATCGCTAGAGGTTCTGTCCTCAAACCCGTTCAAGCTAAAGTTATTTATCGTCACCATGTGTGCAGATATGGACATCATCTACAAAAAGTATCTGGATGAATGGGCCACAGAGCCTACCGTGAAAAGTGTGCTCATACAGAGCAGTTCTGCCCGTGCCTTCTGTGCTGGTGGAGTGATTACTCTATTCCTTGTTTGTCAGTTGTTTGGATGACTGAGAGCATATAAAGTATATCTGATGTCTGTGTGGTCATTGTCAAAGGTATATTGTGATGAGAGTAGATTTTTGTTCAGATATTTGTTTATCTCTTAAAACATCCGGGTTTCATGTAGAGGCGAGTCACAATAGTAAATTCATAACCCACAAGAGATGGTGATGTGGTGGATCCCTCAGTAAATGTAAGTCAAGTGATTTCAGACGAACCGGTGCAAATATTGTATGTGTCATGTTAAGTAGGACCTTGTGCTGCTTTATTGCAGGAATGGATATTAAGGGGGTAGCTGCAGCTTTACAAGAAGACAGGGCATCTACATTACCATACCAGGTCGTTATGAGGCTGGATTTGATACAATGCTTTGAACAAATCCTACTCATGAGTCCCGAAATCGCTCATTTTTAGAGGTGGAGATTGGGAGATGTGGGAGGCTAGAAAGAACTCAAATTGAAAAAATCTTGATGGCTATAACCTGATGTTTCGAATATCTTCGAAATAGCTCTTGGATTCTAGAGTTGATTGCAAATCTCCACTGGGCTGCAGGTGGAGATATTAAACAGATGCACAACCACAACAGTGATAATGAAAATGGAATATTCGAAACTGCTCTGAAGGTCATTTCTGGGCTCTCACATATGGGAGCAAACCAAAAATGATTTGGGTGGAGTAGAGGTCTTCTGTTGGCTTGATATACGCTATACGATACTGTACTTCTCACTAGGCTGATTTCATGTTCGTTCAATACAGAGAGATCTCGAGCCCCAAAGTATCGATCTGGGTTGTTTTCTGGGTCGAACCCTCTGCTGAATTTGATGCTCTATTGTGCCATACTTGTTTTCTGATAAGTGACTCGGGGTATGTGTTTCCTCAGGTTTTTGCGGCAGAGTACAGCTTGATATGTGAAATAGCTAACTACAAGAAGCCGTACATTTCTTTGATGGATGGCATCACCATGGGGTTTGGAATTGGCCTCTCGGGTCATGGTCGTTATCGAATCGTTACAGAGGTGCCACAGCTTATTCTATTATTTGTCAAGTAGGAAGTTCCTGCAACTGCCAGGTTTGCTCAGTGCACTGTGCAAAGTCCTCTCCTATCGAGACAATCGCAAATCTCTGTAGTAATAGACATCGAAAGTAACCAGATTGAACATTCCATGCAGAGGACAGTACTGGCAATGCCCGAAAATGGTATTGGATTGTTTCCTGATGTTGGCTTCGCTCATATTGCGAGCCGAAGTCCTGGAGGAGGTGCTGTTGGTAAGCCGCTTGTGCACTATGAACTTTACCTATTGTCAAGACGGCTTTCGAGGTTCTGCACAGCTGCTCATTGACATTAAACGAATCTGGGACAAGGATGTGATCTTGTAGACTTCTTTCAAATTCAATGCTGATAGTTCCCTCGCTTCGATCAACCTCATCTAGTTTTTGCAAGTCCCCAGTACAATGATTTGTTAGGTCATCATACATTATGTGTGTTTGCAGGCGCATATCTCGCTCTGACGGGAGCCAGAATAAGTAATCCAGCCGATGCTCTCTACGTAGGGCTGGCTAGCCATTACGTCCCTTCACAGGATCTGCCACCTCTGAAGGAAGCTCTTCTGCAACTAGATCTGTAAGAATGGCTTTTGAGCTCGTAGGATTGTTGCTATGAATTGGTAACAGCATGATTTGTCTACTACTACAGATTTATTTGTCTGCAGTTGATCATGAGTTAAAGCAAGGTCTCCTCGATGCTGTCCACACAGAAGGCTGTTTGATTTGGAATTTTGTGTATTGGTTTAATAATGGTATACATTTGTATATAACGGTTTTTGTGGATGACGCAGATCAGGTGACGCATATCAGAAAGTGGAAGAATTGCTTGGCATGTTCAGCAAAACGCCAGAAGATGAACCCAAGCTCAAAGGCCTTCTAGCCACCATAGTGTCCTGCTTTGGAAGGAATCTACCAGTTTCAGGAATTATCGAGGCCTTGCAGGCAGAGGAACAATCAGAAGATCCCGCAGGTCGGATTGTTGATTCTCATCTCTTTCATTGCCATGGATCTCCAAGTGCGATGGATCAGTCTTCAAGTCCATGTAAATCAGTAAGCCTAGTATAACTACTTTTCTGTAATATAATGAAGCCGGGTTGACGTTATTATGAAACAGTGGCGGAGTGGGCAAAAGGAGCACTAGAGGGCATAAAGAAGGCTGCCCCTCTCAGTCTGGCTGTGACCCAAAGACATTTCGCAGATGTTGCAGCAGCTGCTTCCGATTCTAAAAATCCTCTTTCCCAGGTAATGATTCCGACATGCTTGAATTGCTAACATAGAAATATTGACTCCATCTAGCTTTAGAGACTCGGCAGACTTGAAGAAACTAGGAGCTGCCATCTCCAAATCATAACGTAGACAGTAAGGGGAGTCCTGACCTCATGTTCTTGTGATGAGGCTCAGATTGAAGGAGTGATGAGGAAGGAGTACTCACTGGGAACTAAAACAAGCATGCGTCCGGACTTTCTCGAAGGTGTCCGAGCTGTCTTGATTGACAAGGATCAGGTTTCCCCTCCTTCTTTGTGATATTAGAGTTGTGGACTGAGTCCTTCGTACTATACTAGGATTGCTACAGTTCTCTCGTGGATATCGTAGTCGTCTGTATGCTTCCTGTCGCTCGAGTTCCCTTAAGCCAGAAAATTTGTAGACTGTAATTTTGATTTTTACTGGTAACCAAAAAGTAAGCATGAGAATGAGAGAAGTTCTGGTAGCGGATTTGCTCACATGTGGACTTCCTGTTTCTTTACTTTTCAGAATCCGCGTTGGAAACCAGAAGATATTAAACATGTAGACCACCTGGAGTTGGAAGAGGTTCTTTCGCCTTTGGAAGGGCACCCACCTCCTTTCTGATGATTACTGGGATTAATACTGAGTTAGTTATTGTGAGAGTAGCGGTCTTCAGTCAGAAAACAGCAGAAAATTTGGGGTTGTGTACCTTGTTGCCGTGACGTGTCATCAAAAAATGGGTTTCGCAGTTAACACAGCTTTCACCTGCCTGTGCTACCCTTGATTGAGATTGCTATGACTACATATGAATCAAGCGACGACATAAATATTCTCGGCAAAAAGGGAAGAGTCGTTGAAGACATCAAATGTTTAAACTAATGGAATTGTAAGATAATTACACAGATTGAGTAACCCACATCGTACCACACCGACATCTGTATTGGGATTTTAAGGGAACAAACAACCAGAGATTGATGTGATCTCATTTCTTGGCCCGTGTAATATCGATACTATATTGTCATGTGCATATGTGCAATATGCAGATGGCGTATTTGACATTTTATGAGATTCGTTCACTCTTGACTGCTGATTGTACATTGTACAATATACACCCGCGTAAGTCTGCAATTTGACTTGGGTAGTTTGGTGCGGATTTAAGTGAGATAAAGCACCCCATATAATACTAAAGTTAATACATAGGAAACACAATTTCGAGATCATTTGCAATCATGAACGGACAAGGTGTGGTGAATCGCAAAGGCAAGGGGTAACGGTTTAATGGTCGTCAAAGAATGAAAATTATCACTTTGTTGGAGCAATCCAAACCTTCGAATAATCGAAGCATTGCTAATCAATGTGGTGTGGTCAAGAAGGTTATTCGGAAATTGAAAGCAAGCAAAGATGAGATCCGCAATTGAGCCCAAACGGTTATCAAGCCACTCAAAATCCACATTTTGCGCTTTGCAGCCATTGTTTCCTATTCTTGAGAGATGGATGTACGAATGTATTGATGTCGCCCAGTGTTATCTGCCACAAATTAAAACAAATTGTCGAGTCTATTGAGATAGGTGATGATAAATTCAAGGATCCTTGGGAATGATTTTTGAGATTCTGTCATCGATTTGGTTTAAGTGGCACAAATTTGTTTGGTGAAGTGGAAAAAAATAATTTTGAAACTCTGCGAGGTTTGGATAAATTATGTGTAATTATTGACCAGTATAACCTAGCTTGCATGTACAATATGGACGAAACTGGATTGTCCTTTCGACTTGTTCCAAGTTCCACCGTCTTGATGTCAAATGAAGATACATCAACCGTCTGGGGCAAGAAAAAAGCGAAAGACCGCGTGACTCTTGTGGTTTGTTGTAATGTCACAGGAATTGAACAAGTCCCAATCACCATGATCGGAAAGGCAAGAAGCCCGCATGTATTTCAGGCAACACTTGGTCAATTCTGTATCTTCTGTAGAAGAACGTCTGGATTGACGTGCCGACTTTGAACAAGTGATTTGATGAGGTTTTTGAGCCATATGTTCGTAAACAAACTGGTCATAAGGTTCTCTTGATCCTTGCTAACGCTCTTGGTCATTCATCTGCCTTTGAGCGAAATGGTATTTGCGAGTTGTTCTTCCCGCCATGTTACGCCATGGAAGCAACCGATGGACATGGACGTCATTCTAGCACTGAAAAAGCGATACAAGTATTTGCTGCTCAAAGAAATGATCGCCTACCACAATAATCAGCAAAGTTTGAAGGATGAACTGACAACAACTGCATCGAAGTTGAAGCAAGACGTTGCATGGACGTCCTCCACATTTGTTGGACGCTGCAAATTTCACTAACATTGCCTAGAACAAAATTTATGTCGAGAGTTTGAAAACCTGCTTTAAAAATTCAGATATTTTGTCTGCATTCCAGAATGCTGAACTTGGCAACGACAATGACAAAATATTGGACAAAATTGCTCATGTGCTCAGCAATTGTGATCTCTTGAGTGCCAATCGCGATTTTTATATTCTGGGTGAGATTGAGCAATGTTTGATCGATGACAACAACAACTAAGAGTTGTTCAAAAACACTCTTCTTGAAGAATTTGAACAAGCAATGGGTGTAGTCATTCTTCAAGAGCATGTCATCGAATTCGAAGACGATGAAGCCGAACCAACTTCGACCCACAATGATATTGATCAGTGCAATGTTATACTTCAGTCTTTAGACAGTGCAATCAGCCTGAATATCAATATGAGTGACCTGACATCTTCGCCATATTTGTCGTCGGACTATCAAGCCAAGGCGGTACTATTCACCCTCCGCCTCATTTTACAAACCAGTCGAATAAAAAACTGCTGCCAAATGACTCTATTCAATTTTTTGTAAAATACACTCTTGAGAATATTGATATGAGAATTTTGCATTGTGAACTTAATCGAGTGTATACTGTAGTTTTAGTATGGTAGAGTAAGTATTATTCTATTGTATTGTGGTACCATCAAGATTACGATGCACAAGTTGGCGGACAGTCGAGAGTCACTATAGTGTAGTGAGTGCACAGTCTGGTTTCAGATTGACCTGTACATCCGTCATTCAGGAAATCTTTACTTATCTTCACTAAAGATTTGAGTCTCTTACTGTTTTACGGTATAGTATTTAGACTTTGTTAGTTGTGTTTGTCAGACCACTGCACATAGGTTAGAATCTGAAGTATCATACTAATCTAAGGTTTTTTTAATATATCTAGCGAGTGAATGCTATTTTTGCAGTTTTCACATACACTTGATTAGTTTATTTCTTGTAGTATTAAGTTCTAGCTTTATTTTTGTTTCGCATCGTGGATATACTATTAGGGATATTTATTTGTAACAGTTATTATGTTTATATTGTGATCTAATGTACACATGGTTTTTAAGAATTTTGGATCTAAAATATATGAGTAATAATTACTCATATATTTTAGATCCAAAATTCTTAAAAACCAATAAGTGGGAAAAAAATGGTTAACAAGCTATGATTTTGCACATTTGAACATGTATGTTTTTAAATAAAAATCAGTCTAGAAAAATATTTTTGTAGAGATAATTTTGAAATAATTCTATCTCCAAATGCATAAAAATTGGAAAGAAAAGTTTAACAGTTTCCCCCAACCGAGACTTAGATCAATTTGAATGTACTTGGGAAGGTGAGTGAACAATAATCCAAAACATAAGTAGTATTCATAAAAGAACATATTAAAAAAATCATTTCACTTGGAGCTAAAAGAATTCACAATAACTTGGATCAACTTTTCATTATAGTTACATTGTTCATTCATTTAAATCCATTTATGATTATTTGCCATGAAAGCCTTCTAATGTAAAATACAACAATAATTTTTTTAAAATAAGATCTTTTTAGCAAATTTGATTGATTTTGAATAACATTATTAATTAAAAATGACTAGGTTTGAACATATAGATAAAATTCAATTTCTTTAGTCATTATCAATTCTTAATTGATTACACAATAAATATAATCTCAAATGCATTTACACAGATTTAAAATACATGAATATTCCAATATGCTTCATTTGATAAACATTTATACCAAATCTATAGAGAATTGATATTTTTTCCATAAAATATTTTTTTGCATAGATTTTCCACCACTGAGTGTTTTGTTCAATGTAGTCATACGAATCATATTTTTCAGTAATAACTATAGAATATTTAAAATATAAATTTAATTTCAATTGTGTATAATTATTACTCTTTAGATTTAAGATTGAACCCTTTTAACAACCAAACTCGAAATATATGACTTGTAAATAAAAAATTCAAAACATTATAGTTAATCAAAATTTTCATCTATTTTACAGCAATGACTAAATTAAGATTCAATGCGTTACGTTATGAATCTATGAATGATTCATGACTTGCATATGTACTATAACATGTGATAACATTTTTTTGGTTGTATAATATGCATAATATCATGGGGTAAAATGACCAAAATATCGACGAATCCTTGTTCTGCTAGTACTAAGAACGCCACACCCTGTAACATGGGATTTCTTGGACAATAATCATAATTGTGCAGAAACTGTTTCAACATGAAAAGAAATTAAAACATATCAAATAAATTTATTGTAGAATGCTTATTCCGATTTGTTTGGAGGTTTTGCAGTGATCAGTTAGTATGTGTATTGAAAGTCTATTACAAAATCATTTTTGATCATGAGAACAGAAATGGAGCGTTGTTAATAATTAAAGTGAAAAAATTCAAACCAAAAATAATTTATTATTCAAAATATTAAATTGAAATTCTGAATGAATATTTTAAATATTAAATCTAAAGTAAAAAGAATAAATCAAGCCTTAAAGAATCAAATATGAAGTTTTGAATGTATTCTAACTCATTCAGTTATTTTGTGCTCTATGTTTAAAGTTTTTAATGTAATCTAAATAACCCACTTAATTCCCCTTTTTTTAAGAAAAAATAAATATCGATAAAAAATGAAATAAATTGTTATAAGTATATGGTATCATTCACCAAATTTTTAAACAGTACATATAAATGTTCACGATGTTTTTTTAACAAATATTTCATATGATTATCAAATTTGAAAAAAAAATTTCTCTTACTTGAAAATGTATGCTCAATTATATTCCAAGTATATACACAAAAAGAGATTGTTATTCACACATGTAAAGATATTCCAAAAGCATTGAAGGTGAATTATGTTTATATTTATATAAATGAGAACTATAAGCAGATCGGCCCATTAGCTCAGTTGGTTAGAGCGTCGTGCTAATAACGCGAAGGTCACAGGTTCGAGACCTGTATGGGCCACGTGCGCATGATGTCTCACCCCCTTGGTACTGCGAACGGAGTATCATGAACTCGTTATGGCTTATACTTTGTTCGGCGCGAGCGTTACGCGGAATCTAGTTACAAATAATTTAATCTTAAACGAAATATTCATGATGATGACAACAGGTCCGATAAGTGGAATTCGTTGAAGGAAAACCTTGAAATTACGTGATTATATAATTATTTCTACACTATAACTACTAAATACTTGCAACCTCTATGATTAGAGGGAGAACATGGAGATGTACATAAGGCAACAAACATTTTCTTATTATATATTGGACATGGCGTCATGGCAGGGAATGTGTTCAAGAATTAGGGTCAATGGGCGGGATTTGAAGAAGGACTTCTTCTCTGGCAGTTGTTGAATAACTACCATGTCTACTATGGTAGTATAGGATGGGGTTTTCAGATGGCTTAAAATCCGCTTGGCACCTCTTTGGTTTTTACTAAGGTTATTTTCTCTACTTGGTTTGTGGAGACATGTAATTTGGTTCCCGCGTCCGTCATTTTAAGGGAATATGCAGTTCAATCATGCAAGGACACACATGGAGGGAAGCATGTAGCAGGAAAAAAGGCGGTGGCCATGGTGGCCAAGAGAGCATCACTGCATCCGAAGAGCTTCCCTTGGGATGCAGTGATGCCCTCTTGGTTTAGTCGGGCGACCCTCGTAACCAGCTTCGATTCCTGGTATATCCAAAGAAGATGCGAATATTAGAAGCAGGAGGATATTTCTCGACCTATATACCAGCATGATCTGCACATTACGGTCTGTATAAGGAAGTCAAACATCGGATCCCAAGGACCAAAAATGGCACACAAATCTCTTCTCCTTGTGGACCCCTGAGATTCTCGCCACCACTACCGTTTGTTGTTTTCATCTCTGCCTCTCACACTTCCTCAAAATAGGGTCCTTGTTCCCTTCTGACGGACCCATCCTAAGGAAAAAGAGTAAAGACGCAAGCTTACCAGTCCGCGGTGAGTGTTTGTACCATACCACGACCTTCAAGCGGGTGTCATAACTGGTTGAATAAACGTCCCGTATTCAGCCCGTCAAGTTACTGGCGCAGGCCAGTTCTATCAATCGCGCGACGTCATTGGATGAAGCGGAAATTAGGAGGCGTAGCGGTGTGGTATCAATTTCTGTCTCCTCTTGTAGCCAAGTTGGCGGAGAGGTACTGCCATCCACCACATTTACAGAAAGGAACTTTAAGTATCAGGAAAACTATAGATTAGTTAACTAATATAGAACTTGAGATTGTGTTGTGACTAACCCGGAACGATAACATATTATTTTACATATGATTAAAGTTTCAAGTAGTTTGATAATCTCTTCTGGGTCTAATATTATGGGTAACTAAAATCACGTCATATAATTTCAATTGTATGTAGACAGGTTTGACCTAAATAATTGCACTATAATTTATTTTCTGCTCCGACGATAGTGTGGGATCTAGTACCCATGGTTCTAGACTGGTTATAAACTCGCAAAGGTTATTGGTGCTGTGATACAATATATGTTGCGATATTTCTTGTACCTGAACCCGACCTGACCTGACGTCAGCTCCGTGACCTGTGCGTGACCCGTTGTACACATGGAGTTCCCAACCTCGAACTTAAGTCTGGGACTTTTTCCTCTCGTACGGAAATTGTGGTGCAGTATTTTCCTAAACATAGCCAAACATCCTATTTGTATGTGGACCCCAATGAAGAAGGGCCAAGTGGATGGAAAATTATGTTGGGAAGACCCCGTCTAGCCGTACAACGTACAAGAGACTATCGGGAAACCAGGGGCTAGGCCCAATAGTATCACCCTAATTATAATCGCGAGTACTCGTTTGCCACTTATATCTAAATTTGGGGTTATCATGTCGGGACCTCGAAGGCATTCGCCAACCGATGTAAGTTTGCAAATGCGTTAAGGAGATCCTTTTTCCCCACCAGTTTCTCATTGTTCAACACATGGATACGGGCACCTGGTAATCGGACATGTTAAAGCGCAGATATTTCAGCTCAAACTTTCACTTCGAATCGACCATGTTCGAGCGATGTGATTTCAGAATGATTTACTTTATTTATAATGTTAGACTCCCTTCATCTTGTCATGTCTTGTTACAATCCCTTCCTCATTAAATCTGAATTATTTATCCTGCAAATGCTTAATGTATAGTCAACATGTTATCAAAACATGGTATCGTCATTTTTTCATTTCGATTAGCTGACTACTCTTCCCACTACTACAGTGTTCATTTTCTCAAGTAAGAATTTCAATATTTCAAAAGAAAGATTGCCAAGATTAATTAATTGAGAGTAAATCTGCATTTTGGAATATAACCCCAATCCATTCGTCGTACATAATTTTATGTTCGATTTTAATTGTGCACTGATTTATTTTATATTATTATTTTAAATATTAAAATCAATCATGGACTTCAAAATTATTCAGATAATAAAAAAATTCACAAATCAGTCTTATATATTTTATCGATGAAAACAATTCCATTTTCTTCACCTTGAGCATAAAATTATGATATATATATCTACTTCGTCATAAAAATTGATATCCACCACTTGTGTTTGAGATTACACAAAAAAAAATTAAAACTAAAATTTTAGATATTTGTAAGAATAATTTAATATATAAATTAAATAATCTGATATAGGAGAATTATGACTAATTTTATCAATTTCATATGAGTAAACATTCTTGATTAATTTCATGCAAAAAATAAAATAATATCTACTAACATAAGCAATAAAATATTATATTATTTATTGATTTAAGAGATTATTATTCGTATTTTAAGTGATTGAATTTCTTTTACATCAGATAAAATTATAAAATTTCTTGTTATTCTCATTTTTGAATTTTTTTTTTCACAAGTAGATTTAATTTTGAGTTGAATCTTAGATTATTCAGGATTAATGAATATATTTTTAAAATTTTTCAATAATTAATTTATTAAAATTAATTTTTATTATTTTCTCTTTTCGTGTTGGCAAAAATATTTATACTTTATTATATCTTGAATGAGAAAAGAACATAGAATTTCTTGTGAAAGTTAGTGAGCTCATCTAGGATTACTAGATACCAGTAAGTTCTCAAGATCCTCGGTGAGGTTTTGTGTAAACTTGGGTTGGGTTAATCAATCATACTAGGGCTAGCATTGAAACTTAACTATTTCAGGCATAGTTAGAACTATAGAGTAAACTACCTCTAGGATCCATGAATGTAACTTCATATTTATCGTAGTTCTTTCTGTTGCTTTTGCCAATCTGGCCGATCATGCATAATTTTTACATATATGTACGCATTAATAGATGATACAATTAGGAGATATTTCCAGAAGAAGATTTTTATAGATTGATTTTTTTTAAATAAAATTATCCACAATCTTCAGTGTAAATTTAATACTTCTGTGATGGATTCATATCGAATGTAAAAGTTTATGTTTTTAAATTTGATCATAAATCATAAATCTATCTTTGATATATAAGAATTAAAATATTAAAATATTATCCGATTATATACATCAAGTAATTTTGCTTAATTTTGAAATTTTTTATTTTTCGTATGTATTATATTGAATATGTATATACATTGATATTAAAACTGGAAGTTTTAGCCTTATTAATTCATCAATATTGAGTATATATAAGAATGAGAATAAACCATTTGTGAAACATATCCTATTTGATATATGGAAAAAATATATAGTACGTTAGATTCAGAAGAGAAAATCCCAACGAAAAGAAAGATTTCAATCATTGATGTAAGGTTTTTCAAATTCATTATGAGCTTATAAAATGCCAATTCTATGGAGATTAAGAACCCTGGTATGTATATATATATAAGCAAGATCAACATCATTGTAAGTGAGTAAATAAGACTTGAAAACAATTGAGCATTATCACTTCTTTAGACGAAGTGGCGGGGCTAAAAAATGAGGATTTTTAGTGAGGGCAGTGATACATAATGGATCCCATAGATTCCATTATCATTAAACATTCCTATTTCCATTATAATATACATCGTCTTGATGTATGGTTGCATCATGACATATTTCCATTTGTGACGATATTGGGGCTGGCCTCATCTTACCCGTTTATTTTAGCCATTAAATTACTCGTTGGAAGCCTTTCCCTCAGTGCTCGTTTGGAAACAGTTAATACCAAGGAGCGAGTCCATTGGATTTTGACTGAAAGCGAACAAAAGGGACTGTCTAATCGGAGCAAGGTCCAACGGAAAGGATAGGAGCTTCTAATTCCGAAATGTGCAGCTGACAGCTGCTGATGGACGGATGACTGATAGGCCTGAATAGGCGGATCTCCACTATCCAAGCAGCGAGAGATGGGACTTGATATTCATGCCACGCAGAAAATCTTGCAGTCGAATTCGGCCGGGGGGGAAAAACCACTCTCGCTGTCCCACACGCTCACCAGCATTCTATGGTGTGCGCAAGTGAGTCGACATAGAGACTGGGTTCGTCCACTGATTTCACCTGACACCTCACCGTGAGAGGATGTACAGTGGTGTGCGGACGGTGCTGCTGTTGATGGGTTCGGCGTTGCCAGCGACTCCAACCTCACCGGGCAGCGCAAGGAAATTAGGCATGGATCCAACAGTTTCGTCCTGTGCTTTGGCGGTGTTGGCGTCATGCCGAGGTAGACATCTCAGTGACCAGCTCTCTGCCGAAAGAGCAAGCGAAGGTCATGAATCGGTGTCCAGGATGCGTCCGTCCGTGAGATTCGAAGAGGATACTCAGCCCGATTCTCATGAGGCGACCTGATCCCATCTCTCCTTCTGAAGCCTTCACTTCGACCCCGGTGACTTTATTTGGCATGAATTTGCCTCCAGCCACAAGCGCCAAGAGCTTCAGGTTACGGAACTGTACTGCACTCGACGAGGATTTGTCTTCTTCTCTCAACATGGCGGCTCTGGTGGGCGGCATGAAGAATATCCAACCGTGATGCCTGCGACTGAATTGGAATCGATCTGCTGCCCTCTTCGGGTGGTGTGGTGTGGTGTGGTGTTGGCTGTTTCATCGTCGGGCACCTGTGAATCTGAAACAGTGAACTTCCTCAACGGTGTCACAAAAGCGCAGAGCTTTCAACTGTCTCTGGTTTGGGTGCGGTGGCGTCAAGAAGGCCTATTGCGACGTAGGATGTGCTCCCAACTTGGCCATGTACAAGAAATATCCGGACCCATGGTTGGCTCAGCACAAACACGAGCCGGTGTTGGTGTTCCACTCCCGGCGGCTTTTGCAAAGTTACAATTTAACAAATTTTTATTCGGGAAAGCATGCAATTATTCAGCGATTAGAGCGGGCTGCAATGTTCCATTAACTACTCCCTCTCAAAAGAAGCAAAAGGAAGAAAACCGAGTAATGTAGATTAAAAGGATGCGAAGACTTCTTCAAGTCGTACGTAGGTGAGGAATCTGGTGCGTCTCTTGGGTGGCTGAGGAAAGTAAAGGAGAGCTTATTCTCAAAACTTCTCAAGCTCGTGAGTAGGGGACGGGAACGTGTTGTACGAAGCTCCGTCCTTCTTCCTTCCGTGAGCTTCGCTTGCGTTGCATGCTGGCGGTCTCGCTCAGCCGGCCCGCAGAAAGCATGAGAATATCCTCACACAAATCCTTGGCTCGAGGGTACCGAGACTCGCCATTTTCGGCGCTCTCTCTTTTCTCTGGGGTCCATCCGAGGTTCCTGCCCCCAGCGGCACCTTCCATGGAACACAATTTCACCACCTCGCAGGGCACGAGAATCATCACTAAATATGGACGAGGGAAATTATGGCAGTTCTGTCTCTCTAGATCCTCTCTCGACCTCTTGTCTCCAGAGAGCAGGGCAGCGGGCACTTTCTAATCGAAGCCAGGAATATTCCCATCTGGACTAGCGGAATCAGCCCCCTCGTGGAGCCCTGCAACCAGTTCTCTCAGGACCAAAGGACTCAGAGCTTCCCGCAGACCTACTCACAGTTCGAGTCGGTCACCACACCAGAGGTCGGAAAGCCTCCACGATTGGTTTATCCTTCCGGGAGGAGAATTCCCCGGTGGCGCCGGAGCCCGTGCCATCGCCGGAACAAACGAACCGGTTTCTTATTCGCCGAGCCACAGATCCTCTCCTCTCTAGTCCGTAAGCCGGATTGGATTCCGAGAAGGCGATCCGTACCACGGGCTGATGAGACCCCGGGACGGCGTTACCGTGTCTTGGAAGGAACGCAGTTGTGGATTTGGCGCTTGGCGGACGCGCTCTCGTCCGTACGGCGAGAGCAAGTTGTGGTACTTTGTTTGTCCAGGGTTCGAGGATCGTAGTAGCACGGTAGCACGGTAGCACGTCCTTGTTCCCATGTGCACCGGGTACTGACAGGGACGCGCCTCATCGACCGCAGTAGGCATCTCCTGATCTGTCCAGTTGCACCTACTCCTCGGTGTACAGTGCACGATGGACGTCCGCGTGCTTCCGCCGTTGAGTCACGTTTGACTCGTCCTGGTCCACTTGACCTCCGCCGTGCCGCATGACCAACTTGTCCAGACACGAGTTCATCTCCATCCGAGGAAGCTCTCGCTGCGATTATTATTTGTATTCTTCTTATGATTATTTTCTCGATTATCAACTTGTTTGAGGTGGCTGTGAATTCTGACGGAGAGTCTCTCACACGTGAATTCAAGGCAAATCGAAAGGGAACCGCTGGGAAATCCAGCTGTTCTTCGTCTCCAAAATTCCACATGCCACTTTTCGAGATGCATCTAGCGTCCTCGAAAGCTGAGTGAGCCTGCTTGTAAGTCTCTCGAAGATTTCAATTGTGTATAGTACGCGAAATATCTGTAGAGACTTGACCGAAGTCAAGAAAGATCACGGGTTGTTGACTCGAGGGCAGAGACAAAAAAAATTTAATAAACTAAATTCCCATGTAGGCTTTTTCTGTGTGACCAAGCACTTAATCAGCTTTCGGCTGCAACCAAATCCTAGGCACCATTTGGTGAAGAGGCTCCAAGAAGGCGCACTCCGAGTTGCTGACGATTTCCATCTACTTTCGATTTGCTTCATACAGCTCTTGATCCTCTTAAGTTGGACAAGTATGGCCGAACCTGCTCTTTATCAATCATACCCATTATTTCAAACATGACTTTTGGGGCACGATGCAGCGTATACAGGATCGAGTCTTGAGTGGAAATCCTTCGTCCGCCTGATTAAGCGTGTATAGCGGATTTTTGAAGCATCAACTTTTTGTTTTCAAGACTGGAACCTGTACCAGATGAACTTGAGGGCAAGATTTTCCACGTACGCGTTAAATCCGTGCATGCAGAATATATCCAGTTCAGGGTGCATTCGGAGGAATTGGACACTTGCTCAACTTTCCAGAAGAGAAAAAGGCGAAGACTCAAATCTCAAGATCGCGAGAGAGGAGTTATCCTGGACCATAAAGCATTCATGAATGGGAAGGAGAGTAGGGGACTTTGGCTACTAATCTTGTTGCCGAAGGCAGCCCAATGGCATCTATGAAACAAGATCCGTAGATCATGATTCCATATTTCTGAGCTAGATCTATTGTGGTGTCTTTTCTGAGTTGTGCAACATGTAAACGAAAGTCAAAGCTGATCCATGAGTGTCTGCTCCTGAAGTAGGTTGTTTGAAGAGGAAGGACAGACTTAATAATGACCATCTCTAAGAAGTCGCCATGGACATCATTAAAACCGGTCATGTACATAGGCTTCAGAACATTAAAGACATAACTTTTATGGTTTTTTTTCACCCAATATAGTTTACTTTTATGATTCTCGTTCATGACATTTCCAATATCATTTCGGGCGTTAAAAAAAAGGAGGGCGTAAGGTGGGAACATAGCCTCGTGTTATACCAAGATATATATATATATATATATATATATTTTACAAATATTTTCTCTTGCTTTCCCTTACTTTGAAACCTGTCTTCAACTAAACTATTATGCTCATCTCATCTTGTGTTGGTTGTGCAGAGAGGGCAGTTTATTGAAATCAAACTTTTCTAATGTTGGGGTGGAAGGAAGATATACAAACTCGTCATTTCCAAGATGCGTTTCAGAAAATGATCGAGCCTCTTTAATGGGACCGCTCATTTATGGAGCTTGACCTATTTGACTCAGCTTTAACGAAAGAAATACTGTAGCTGGGATCTTATATATTCCTACAATTACACATTCTTTATGCTTCTCTTATAGGTATTTCTGACTGTATATAAAAGTACATGAATCAGAGGAAAGTAATTTGTTCGCAGAGAAAATCTCAGCATATAGTGATTTCATTGCCCTGGTTGAATATTTACAGTGGACGTGTTTTTCAAACTTGCTCAACGTTCTATCATTCTATCTGACCTTCACGTTCCAGAGACATTGCTGGAGGATGTACAAGACATCCGGACATTACGAACTACGTGGCGAGTTCCGTTGTAACCCACCTGCTTCCTTCCTTACTCGATCTTGCTTCATGATGCCAGTGTTATGTGCCAGAACGAATTTGGGCACACTGAACATCCGTTCACTGTGTTTTTAACCGGACACTAAAATGCACAGATCTCGATATCAATGTACGGCTCCGTGCACTGAAAAGTACAGCGCACAGATTTAGCAAGGTAGAACTGGACGGAAACAGTCCTCACAAGATTGGGATAGTACTATGCGGTTCCAGCAAGGTTGACAATATTAAGCAGTTCCGAAAGTCAAGGCGTGCTTACTTCATTATTGGCCCATCCTTAATCCTGATTCTGCGAGTCAGCATTCCAAGCTCACAGTAAAAGATCAGAATCCGTCATGGAAACCATGAAAAATCAGGATACCGCCATTTCAACAACGAGTATATTTCTACTTATGACTTGATTATGTTGGTACATAGTTGGAAAATTTCTGAAATAAAAGTAAAAATAATAGATGGTTTTAGATTTATTCGTGTGAGGTGGGTTGTTCATGGATTATGCTTTTACAACTGATGAGCCATACATACATGAAAAACGATAATCTATCATCGTTTTTATATGTCTTAATTTCAATTTTAATCGTGAGAATTCACATGTCAATTATTGAGACACCATATATGATATGTCTCTAATAATTTATCTTCCAACCTAAAGATCTAAGTAGGATATACTAGAAATTAATTGATTACCTGGTGCATGCATGTGAAATAATTTACCTCATCAAAATATTCTATGTAGATCCCTTCGTGGATCTTTACACATGTATCTTCAAGTCCTGAAATTTCGAAAGTATTCTCTGATAACAAATAATGAAGATATCTTGGGTGCAATTTCCCATGGCGATGCTATTGGGCCCCTTGGTTTCGTCTCTAGTGAGGTCTACTACTTTATGCACTATTGCTTAAGATTAGATTTTTACTTTCGTTCACATGTAAGTTCCATTCTTATCCCATTAGGTTTTCCCTTGTCCTTCACGGCGAAGGCTCTTCATGTCTGTCCGTCTTATGACACTTTCCACCGATATTTATGGTAGCGTGGTGAAAACAGGCTATCCGACCAGTATTGTAACTGACTGAAGATACGCGAGAAATAGATATGTATGAAGACTAGCGGCAGAATTTTCTCATGGTCACATGTAGAGCATCAAGGAATAGAAAGCCAAATAGAAGCGAAACAAGTCGGGGGCCACCAAACTATAAACGTGCTCAAAGCTGCTGCAATGTGAATCTTGTCCTCACACTCTTAAACTGGTCAAAGTAATATACAAGTTTAGATAAAAAACTCAAAAATAATAATAAAAAATCTATCTCCGAGTGGCGGATGAAATTCGTAAAATATATCAGCTGATAATTATAATTGGGCTCCTCGTAGTTAGAGCTTACTCATCACAACTCTATGTGCTAAAAGTTCTAGAGTCTCTCGTCATCGGCTTACAAAAAAGGGTAAAGTTATTAACTAGATGTACAAGGCAGCCGCAATCCAGCAAGATTTGACAACTCAAAGAAGTAACTTGGCGACATGAATCGACAGAATTGGAGTCCCTCCGTCCCTCACCACTATGCGAAGACCTCACTGTCGAAGGGGATTTCGTCATCCGAAATTTGTCGCACTCAGATCGGAGCAATTTGCGAAATGTGGCGCACACCATGACATCAACAAACGTAAGCTTGGTTCCTCACGTTCCAGCAGCGATTATCATAATCGATTTTAAGAAGTCCCTCCGTGTACCTGCCGTTTCCAATCGACAGATTCTCATAATCTCGTGCCTTGAAGCTGTGCTAAATTCGCGTCAGGCTGTCGATCCGCACGCAGCTCAAGAGCCCACCCACCGGCGGTCACTGAGAACCGGAGCAGGTCGGGGAATTTCGGCCGGGAATTAAGAGGGCGAATATGCGCGGAGAGAATTGGAGCCGGAGGGCGGTCGGTTACCGGGGATCGAGCAAGGCCCGGGAGCGAGCGAGATGGGGGAGAACGGCTTTACCCGGCGGCGGGGTTTGGGCCAATTTCGTCGGTCAACGCCCGGGAAAAGGGTTGGGATCCTTGGGATCCATGGCATATTCCTCGGAGATCCGCATCCGAACCCGATCGCCATTGGCCCCGTTCCACTTTCGCGTTTGGCTGACTTCTGGACATTCTGCGGGGCGGGCCTCCACGAAAAGCACGTCATTAATTTGCGCCAATTACTGTGTAACACTGACGCACCTACTGGCCTCGACTCGCCTCGCCTCGACCCGACTCGACTCGAGTTCTCGATCTCGATTTCTCTGTTCGCGCATGCTGTGGCTGCTGCGCTGTGATTGCAGGGCTCTCTGCTCCGGATTTGGCATTCGCATTCTGTCGTCTTCCGGCAGACCTGGTTGCTATATAGTTCACCTCCCCGTGAGCTTAGTCCTCCACGGCAATGAACTAGAATCTACACCATCGTTGGCAGCGAGTGACCCCGGGAGGTAACCCCGACTCGAGATCAGCCCGAGCTCACAAGACCCTTCCCATCCATGTTGAGGATTCTTTAAAAGAATCGAGGTCGGTTTTTGCATCGAGGTGCAGGAATCCGAGCTCTCGCAGAGCTGCTGGGGATAGCGGCCAGGTAGTAGCAGCAGCAGCAGACATGGCCGCCCTTCCTGAGTACGTGTGGCTCGTCGTGGTGGGGGCCTTCGTGGCCTTCGGGTTCGGTTGGGGAACAGGGGCGAACGATGTCGCCAATGCCTTTGGGACATCGGTCGGGAGTAAGACGTTGACATTGCGGCAGGCAGTTATTGTAAGTCCCTCTCACGAGCTTGCTGAACTTGTCGCAAGGATTTATGGAGAGGTAGAAGAGGTGATTGGTGCACAGGGGATTGATGGATGCGAGAGAATCGTAGGTTCGGAACCAGGGTAGAGAGTGCGTAGAGTCGGGAGTATGCGGACGTAGCATCTGGAGTTGTGCTGAAATGCGTGAGCTTTGAATTTGGAATTTGGGAGTTTCTTTTCTCACGTTTTTGATTGCTTCTTCGTCTCGATCAGATTGCCTCCATCTTCGAGTTCGCCGGAGCGCTTCTGCTCGGCCGAGTGTCCACCAATACGATAGCATCGGGGATTGCGGACATCAATGCGTTCTCGAGAGATCCTGAGGTGTATGCCTACGGAATGGTCTGCGCTCTTGCTGTGGGCACAGTCTGGCTCATCTTTACCTCTTGGATGGGACTCAATGTGTCGTCCACTCACTCCATCAGTAAGTACTCGTCCCCTTTTCGATGCACAGAAGTGTCAAAATTCCCAAGTACAGATTTCTCTTTAGATGAGGAGCCGTGCATTGCATCTTGTGGGTTCTATGAATCTCCATTTACAGATTCTAACGATAGTTTGTTCGACGTGTTACAGTCGGTGGAATTATCGGATTCGCTCTCGTGTGGGACGGTGCCAACGCCGTCACGTGGGCTGAGAAGGACGATGGTGCATTCCCTCCTTACAAGGGTGTCGTCGCCATTGTTCTCTCGTGGTTCATCGCTCCGGTTCTCACCGGATTGGCCGCAGCCATCATCTTCTTCGTCGTGCGAACCTTCGTGCTGCGCCGCCAGAATGCGTACGCTCTGTCCTTCTGGACTCTGCCACCATTCGTGTTGATCACCACCTTCATCAACATGTACTTCATTTTCACCAAGGTAAACACGAAGCAATTGCTCCTCTGAATCCCGCTCCTTCTTGCAGCAAATTTTTTTCGTCACTCAGAATTGAACGTCGAATTGAATCGGAGGCCTGACGATTTCAGCTCAAATTTTCTCTCCACAGGGTGCCAAAAAAGCATTGTCGAGTGATGACAGCTGGACCGACGCCAAGGCGGCGTGGGTGTCTGCAATCGTCGCTGCTGGAGTGACGCTGCTCTGCATCTTCGTCGCCCTCCCCCTGCTGAAGAAGATGGCTGCCCGCCAGTTCGACACCGAGGGAAGGCCAATCCCTCAGCCCGTAGTTCCCGTGGCCACCGAGATGACCGCCGCCGACATCGAGAGGGCGCACGGGCACAACTTCACGCACCCCGTGGCCCCTCTCCCAGTGGAGCTGTCCAACTGGCAAAAGTTCAGCAAGGCTGCCACTCGCGGTATGGACGTGGACATTCATGCCTTCGTCAAAACCGACGAGAAGTTAACCGAAATTCACGAGGCCGCAGAATTGTTCGAGCCTCGTGTGGAGTACGCTTTCTCTTACCTGCAGGTTTTTTCCGCCATTTGTGTGATTTTCGCCCACGGTGCCGGTGAGGTTGGATACATGGCAGGGCCAATGGCCACCATCTGGGATGTGTACCAGAAGGGATCGTTGTCTTCCTCAGTCAAGCCCCCTGTCTGGATTGTCCTCATCGGAGCCATCGGTCTCGTTATCGGTCTTGCCACTTACGGGTACAATGTGACTCGTGCTATGGGAGTGAAACTCGCCAAGTTGACACCTACCAGAGGATTTGCTGCCGAGCTCGCCACCGCTTTCGTGATCATGATCGCCTCTCAGTATGGTCTGCCCACTTCTTCCAGCCAGTGTATCACCGGAGCTATCATCGGAGTCGGTCTTTTGGAGGGATCCAAGGGAGTGAACTGGACTCAATTTCTGAAGCAGTTTGCCTCGTGGGTGGCAACTTTGTTCGTGATTGGAACTGTCGTGGCCGCAGTGTTTGCGCAAGGAGTGTATGCTCCCAGCAAGCTTTCAGGAAAGGAAGTGAGCAGGTACGAGGATCGTGTTACGGAGTTGACGAACACTATGTATGCGGATTTCAACGCCAGCCTTCAGCAGTACAGGGTGCCGAGCGAGAGCGGCTTGTTGGTCAATTTGCCTGCGGCAACATGGGCCCAGCTCAACGAGACAGTTGCAACCAACGCTGTAGTTGCCAAGACTCTGGTCGATCCTAAGCTCACGCAGACCGTGCACATCGAGGCTGTGCTGGATTCCTTTTACCACTCTCTGTCACTGATGCAGAACTACACTGTATTCACTCTCGGTCAAAATACAGTCTTCCCAGGAGCGAATGTCTGCAGCGACCCTGCAACAGGCGGTGCTAATTCGACGTCACCTTGTCAATCGCCGACATTGCTTCCAGCCGAATATGTACAATAGTGGAGCGACTTGTATAGTGTTTATTTTACTGCAGCCAGCGGAGGGAAAGGGTGAAATAGAAAAATATTCTCGCTAAGTTGAGAAGTCCAAATATTCGACTGGTATATATATGTCGCTTGAGTTCTTCAAGCACGAGGGTACAGATCTTAGCAATCTCACATACACGAATGAAGAACTTCGTCCTGTGAGAGAGAGAATTGTACGTTTATCAACATACAACGGCAGCTGTTCGACGACATAATTAGTACTGTCGCCTGAGTGATACTTGAGAAGTGTGGATTGTAAATCGTTAGCCCGCTGAAAGAAAACTTTCATCTTGTGGGGTAAATTTTTTTATAAAATGTGAATGAAATAAATTCATATTCCTAGCACACAGCGGAGCAATTGTGACGGCTTGATATCTTAGAGAAGTTTCTGATGTAACCATCGAGAAAGATGTGAATGTAATAAATACGTACTTTTGAAAAGAGTTTAGCAACCATCTATTATACAGGTGTTATGCTTCTGCAAGAAGAAAGGTATTAGTAGTTAAAATATAATGATAATTTTTTGTATTTGCAACAGGTAATATTCGAACAACTATAGTTAACATGGTTATTACCCTATAATATAACGGTGAAATGTATGCACAAACGAATCTGGATATTACTCCGAAAATATGTTTTCGATGACCAGCGAAAAAACTGTCTTGTTAAGAATGATAAATCGAGTAAATGTGTAGGTAATTACTGTCATAGGACGTTGGTGCACTTTTACTTCTAGATTCTGTTTTCCTATGATCATACTCGGTGGCTAGAAACGTTGACCAAATTCGCCTTTTAGAGATGTTCATACAGTACGTCATTGTTGGCCACTTCGAGACGTTCCGAGTCCGACAAATAAGATCTTGGAGTTGACTTCTACTTATCCCGGAAAACAAATCCACACGGTTGAGCTCTGGCAGATTTAATACAGATCTGTACCGAACTCGTCTGACAGTTGACAGTTCATTCAACGTTATCCCACTTATCACACTCGTGGTGATAAATGGCAGTGGTCGACATTCCATGTCAAGTTTAGTTCAAAGGGACAACTTGATCAGATGACGACGACGACTAGGGACTTCAACTTGGACCTTTCTCATTGTATCGAAAGCTTTCCGCATGTCAGTGCTGTTGGTCTGATGAATAGCCATGTTACTGTCAAGCCTTGTGGCTCTTTTCCTGCAGTAACTGCTAACAGGAGACAAACGGCTTACTGCTGCCCACCATCATCTCTCGGCAGACTCAGGTGCGATTTCTCTCCGACGTCTTCGATCGAATGGCGAAATCAAAAATATGTTGTCTTGAGATTCAATCTCTTCTCAAACAAGTGAGATCAGGTGGGTTTACGGTTCACCTTTCTTATTGTTATATTTAATTATGATAAATCGGAAATGTATAGCTGTAGAACCTCCCGTTTGCAAGTGTCATCCTCTATTTGGAACTCTTCTACGAAAGCAAGATCTAACCTTCTTCAAGTATATTACCCGGCAGTAGAAACAACGAGTCATCTTGAGACGTCAAAGTAGAGAGTAAAATAACATATTTTTTGGAAACATCGCATCGGGAAAATATATAATTGCAAGTATATAATATAACATAAATAAATAAATATTGCAAGTGATAAACATTCAAAATCATCACATTACTATCCAATGTAGCACTTGTGAATAATAATTATATAGCAAAAGATAAACATTGAACAGAAATTGTTACAAAATACATTTGAATAGAATGATGAAGATAATCATTTTCTAGTATGGTAGCATCTAGTTCAGTCTTCCATAAAGATGTAGAAGTCAACGTAAGTTCAAAATTAACAATAGATCATATTCATCTTTACATATCATCTAGAAGAATATGTAATCTCTCTGTTTGATACCATTGATGACCATAATGTATCTAAGAGTGACTTTCTATCCTGTAAAAAAAAGATACATACAAGTCATTTTGTTTAAGACAAATATTTTCATTTTTTGTGAGATATCCAAATTCCATATATATTATGAATTTCATATTAAAAAATTACATTATCATAGATGATTACTACTTACATTCCATGTATATATAAAATCATCATAATATCCTCAAGAAAGAAATATGATGCAGAGACAAACTCAATAAAAATCAAATAACACTTTCATTCACCATATGTGACTTTCAACGAAGTAAGGACCGTTGCTTTATCTCATCATGAATGCAATTTGATGAGAAAAATTTCTAGGCATGGTTACCAATTTCTCATTTTGTAACCAGTAAAATCTGCATTTGGGGGCTGTTATGCCGACTTCTAGAAGCAGAAATCGACCTTGAAGATAGAATACTTATCCTCGCCAGCTGAACTACTTTCATGTTCTCCCGTGTTCATCAACACCAGAAAACCTTACATAAAAACGCCAACTTCCTTGTAGTAAATTAGTAAACAGGAGATGGCGAGCATTACTTGCAAGGTGCATTTTGGAAAGATCATCGTCTCGCAAGTGTGGTATAAGCTTACGTCACAGGCTTCTCAAAAGCCGAAGCCACATGACTACCACTAAGGCTTAGATTCTCTATCGTGATTCATTACAAACATCTAGCTTGTCTTTGACTCTTCTACTTTTCTGATTCAGGGAACTTGTGGTAAGGCCCTTTGAGCTCTCGAAGTGGTATGACCCCGTATAACGCTATACTTTAATCTGAGGTTCTATCAGCACCGCTCGGCCTAGCCTTTGGTCTTTGGGCTATGACGGGATAGATACTGATGAATAGAGATAAAAGTAAGGTACTGTACCAGAGAAAAAGAACAAAAATAATGTGAAAACACTCCAACCCTTCTGCATTATACATAGCCACTATATGCACTTTCTACCCTCTACGAGAAGTGGCTTGGTATTGATCAGCAACAGTGCGTCTTAAAAGAAGTTTGGATCATGTACGTTATCTGGGCCTCAATTTTATTATTGCTGGATTGAACATTAGACATAAATCTGAGCAGCAGGATCAAGTGCATCGATGTCCTGAGCAGAAGCCAAGTGGTGGTGTTCTCTCACATGGCTTCTCATCTCGATGATGACTGCTCTAATCTAAAATTTAAGACCGGACCCAGCCGGGGTCACATGCTTCATAGAGCAAGCGAAGAAGGGTATACAATGTTCAGACCGCAGTGACATTGTAGATAGCATGAAGGAAAGACCAGTCACTGCAGCATACGAGAACAGATATTGGATTATCTCTGCTCTCATTCTGCCGTATACTATTGAATTATGCTTATGCCGCATCTCCAATATGGTCGTGTAGTCGGATGACTCTGTTGGGATGCATGCTCTGCGTAATCAACTGAGGCTGACTCGCAATAAGATGTACAGTACCTGGATTTTCATGTCTGCCATCTCTGTGTCACGAAAGAGTCAACAGCCTTTAAGTTGTTGGGATTCCAAGGACTACGGAGTTCTAGCATGTTGCAAACGGTCTCGAAGAAGTAAAAGTGACAGAAGATAAGCTTCTACTGCATTCAGTGCCAAAAAGGTAACTTCGTACCACATTAGGGGCTACTGCAGCTACTTACGACTGCATTATTACATAGATTGAAGGTCCTAAAGCCATCAAGGTTGACCATTCATGAGATCACGATCACTAGCTCTTATCGTCATTATTGATAACAATGAGCTTGCAGGTCAAGTTCAAAACTGCTTTCTAACATTTTTCATCCCCTTCAGACTGAAAAACGCAGATAGAAAGCTTGTCGTAAAATGCACTGCAGGTCATTCTGGAGTCTACGCTTCAAGGTTCGAAGCCAAGAGAAATTATGCGTGTCCACATTTCGACTAGTCAGTCATACACTCTTGGCCGTTAACACTCATACTACTCGATCACGTAACTGACGAAGTTACGTGATCGGAGTAGCATCAGGAGTGCGCAACTGGACCTCGTCAAATATGTGTTCTGAAAAGAGGAACTTGGGAAGTCAAGAGAATGTCTATTTCATAGTTGCAGTAAGGAAAGAGTCTACGATCGATTAGAAGGATACGTTGGCACAAAAAAATTAGTTCCGTCTCTTTCATTTCCTCACCACAATCTTGATCAGGATCAGACAGGACAATAAGCGCATCGAGATTGTAAGAAGAGAAACTCGCGTGCAGCCAGAGGACTTGCAACTGGGTGAGTTGCAGCCCCCAACAGTAGGATGCCAGTTCAGTACTTTCTCAATGGCAGCAATTTTTTCTGTAGAGTATTTATAATCGGATCCATCTTCTGGACTCTGGATTGAGGAGGACAGAGGTTATGGCCAAACTTTGCCCAGTTTTGTCTCTAAGAGATCATACTGGATCACAAGAGTGCTGAAAAGTCCGATTTCATTGGCCTGCACCAATACCCCTCCACCATATGCAGTAGATCTCGAAACGAACAGATTAGAGCCCAGATCTGCACAAATGTCTTCACGTTCGGTACCCCGTGCAACCATATGCGGGTCTAACAGGCATTTGCCAGAACCAAATTAGTTTCTTTTCAGACCTGACGTATGATGTCTCCAGATAGCTCCTTTTGTCCCCGAGTTGAAAAGAGTGAAAGATCACATAATATTTTGAGAGATTATTTGATCGAGGTCTAACGCCATGATCCTATCACAGAGGTAGTTGCACATAGAACAAATCTCTCCAGATCCAGAGATTTCTCATGCACTGCTGAAGCTAACAGCAAAGTCAGCATGCACTTGTTCTCGTCAGATTCACCCAGTAGACAGCATTGATCACCCAGAGTTAAGTGCTAGAAATCTGGAGTCGATTGTGAGGTGAATACCCGTAGTCCTATATTTCTAGGAAAGGGTGACACGATATCACTGGATCATGAATGAGTTGCTCGAGGATTTGAGATGCCGATGTCCATGCCACGAGCGCTTCTTCAGCATCATGCGCTTTAAAATTATGGCTTTCAACTCACCTGCACTGTAACTCTGAGAAGTTCCATATGCTGCGAATCCGCATTTAAAACCTCAGAATGTGATCGGCGTTGGCGATCTGTGTTTGTCCAGTGCAGTTGACATCAGTGGCAACCGGACCTCGGCTCCAAGCAAATGCGGAACCAATTATTTAATCGGATATTTGTCGCTCCTTCTCGGACTGTCTCCTCCGAGAGATTGCAAAGCAGCAATCTTGGAGAAAAGTGGTCACCATCTTCGTGCCACGTCGAGTCCGAGCCTTCTCTGGGCCAGACACAGCTTCTTCTGGCTCTCTGCAAGAATCGAGTGCCCATCATTAATAAGCCAGACGTTGCTTTGTGGAGACTCTATAGTCCAAAGCGAATTCTACAAAGGCTGGCAAACGGATTCGATCAGATAACATGTCGAGTATGATATGAGCATCTCAAAGAGAACTGGATCTGTCTGATGTGCGACCCTCAGCAGATATCCAAGAATAGGTCTGGCATTAAGTAGTGAGTTGACTATATCTCAAGTGTACCTTGTCCAACTGGATCTACTCGTGGGACATGAAGCTTGCAAGTTGGACAAAAGCTTGACCTCAGGCGACAAAGGAATGTGGCATCTCGGAAGGATATACCGGATACCTCACTGCAGTAAACATCCCAAATCAGGCTAACATATGAAGTACAGATATGCTCAACGTGACCTCCCCTGAAGAATCTACAGAACCACAAGAATCATCCGAACTTTAATCATGTATGAAATAAGGCGATCCTCACTCGTCGTCAATATGTCCCATATCGAGTTGTCGTTGGTTATTGAATGGGACCTGAGTCCATTTTCATATCTGAAGATGATGACTATCAGCGATTATTCTGTCGGATAACGGAATTGAATTTGTCGAACTGAATACACATCATTATGAAATCTTGACCTTGTTCCGAGCCCCTCTCCCGTCAAATAAATCTGCATATATATATATATATATATATATATATATATGATCGATATTTATATATATAAATTAATGATATAGCGAGTATATTGTGAAATTCAACACACATCATCTTCTGTTTTTTCTTCGTTCCGAGCAATAATTACTTTAACTTTATCTAGTCAACCTCTGTCGTCATGCGATTGCTTTCGTCATAAATTTTATTGCTGAAATTTAAAACCGGAATTTGAGACTTATCCAGTAGAATCATATGAAGACTTGTTCTTAAGCACTAATATGTGAAAAGCTACAGTTGGGGCTGAACTTCACTGAGGTACAGCAAAGGCCATAGATGGATACGATATATAAAACGAAGTTATGGCGTTCTGCGGGAAACATTCGGCGTCTAGTGTCTTGCCCTGCTTTGACGACAGGTCTCCACTCGAAGACACTGTGAATCAAATTTCATTCCGGAGCATAAGTCCACAACGCTTTAGGCCGCTTCCCGATGACGGATCTGATATCTTCTTGCTTAAGTACAGGCGAACTCCCAGTTCCTGGGAGTTCGCCTGTGCTAGCGGTTATAAAACTTGAAGGGTTGCCGCGGCTTCATAACAAAGGGGCACAACTTCTGCTATAGGCTAATTTGTTATCCTTACCAACTCCTGGTCGATTCTCGTCCTCGGCTAGCATTCGGTTGAAAAAGAAAGAAAAGAGAGAGGACCAGTTTTTAACTATTCATCTCCTGGACCTCATACTGTAACCCAGAATCCTCTAGCTTAAATTGAACATCAAGGGAGTCAAAGATTCAAATTACAATAATGATGATAAAATTTGTCAAACAGCTTTCTCTGATATACTTCTACATTCCATTCCAGTCAAGGAATTCTACTCCACAAGTTAAAACCTTTCGACAGGATGAGCTCTGGAGACTGTCTTTTTCTACGTTGGAGCCCCGTGAAAGTCGATTTCACGCCGTACTTATCTGTGGAGAACGGACCTGTTTTCAATTCCTAATATGCGCCAAGGCTAGAGCCGGCGCAGTGTCAGGGGGGCAGTGTGAGACTCAGACAATAATATGTCGAAGAGGATACAAACAAGTTGCAGCAGTCAGGCACCCCGCGAATCGGAGTTGTCAATACGACCTTGTACCTGCGACCACAGTGCTTCATTCGGCCGCCAGAGGTGGAATAATGGTGAAGATTCCGGTGGGGGAGCTCATGGGAGTTCTCTACGGCCTTTTCGGAAATTTACATACCTGCTCTCACTCGATTACATGCGCCTCCAAGGGTGAGTGGGGACGGAAGAGAAGAGCCGATTTTGAAGATACAGCCGCCACGGCTCCGCCATGAAGCTTGTATGCCTGCTCGACGTCCGATTGTCGAAAGCCCGGGAGAGAATGGGAGAGAGAGAATAATGAATAGTGGGAGAGGAATCCGGAAATATGCGGCAGAAATAGCGAGCGCGCTTGTAAGAAACGCATTTTAAGTTTGGGCATATGCCGGAAGATGCCGTTTGGATCCAGACGCTCTCCTCTGTCGATTCCACGAACGCTGACTTTTGGAATCGCTGTAAGACGTCCACCTTCGGCAATGAATGGCGGCCCGGAGGACGTCAACAGCTGCGGATCCGCGCAGGCATGACGTCGCTATATAACTTAGCGGATGCGGCCCCAATTGGCAGGACGCGCACGAGCAGCTCTTCCTTCAGGAGTTTCTGTCTTGCGAGAGAGCGTGTGGGCTTCCACCGGATTCCACCTTCCCTCACAAGCACCTCCTCCTCCCAATCATGTTCTGAATCAGTCGATCTCTTCCGCAGCAGCAGCAGCCCAGACAAACGTCCTCGTACATGTCGTACCTCTAGCGGTACTTGTCGTGTCATAAAGCAGCAGCGACAGCAGCAGAAAGGTCTCAACCGGACTCGATCCGTCTATTGTCTTCGTCATGGCTGTCCTCGAGGAGTATCTGTGGCTCGTTGTCGTCGGGGCCCTGGTGGCCTTCGGGTTCGGATACGGAACTGGTGAGTCCTCGTGTCCAACAAGCTTGCCTGGTGCAGCTCGGGACCTCCTGGGGTCAATGAGCTTCAGAGCCCCCGGTTTAAAGTCAGACTGCTGCCATGCACTCGTCCCCATGCCGTAGTTTTCGTCCTGACTGAATTCGTAGAAAAAGCTCGCTGGTCTCGCAGTGCGAAGTCTGTGTTTCGGTCTGTCGAGCCACGCTGTTGCTGATCCCGTCGTGGGTTATTCTGTTCTGAATCCAGGTGCGAACGATGTGGCTAATGCTTTCGGAACGTCCGTCGGGAGCAAAACCCTCACTCTGAGGCAGGCGGTCATTGTAAGTAGAGCATGCTGTCCCCACCTTCCATCCTGTTCATGGACCCGAGCCGATGAAAGTCGCGATAGGCTGGAGTCGTCCTAGATTGAGAGAGCGAGTAATACTTGCAGGCAGAGCATCGTGTCTTCTACATTCGAGGATACGTACACATTCTTGCACTGAAGGATATGAGACGTTAATGCTTCTGTAACGCGGACTGTCTGATTGGACGCACTGACAAATAATCAACTCGCAGATTGCGTCTATCTTCGAGTTTGCCGGAGCCCTTCTTCTGGGAAGAGTGTCGACGAATACCATCGCGTCCGGTATAGCGGACATCAACTCCTTCACCCGTGACCCGGAGGTTTATGCTTATGGCATGGTCTGCGCCTTGGGAGTTGGTACAATATGGCTTCTTATTACTTCCTACTTGGGACTCAACGTGTCGTCCACCCACTCCATCAGTAAGTCAGAACTCCAGTTTGAATTTTTTATGCCTCGAGCTGTAGATCAATCATGGTTTGTGTTGTCAAATCCAGGTGATAATTTGTGTGTATGGTTGTGATGTGCAGTCGGTGGAATTATCGGATTTGCTTTGGTTTGGGATGGCAGCAACGCCGTCGTGTGGGCGAAGAAGGACACCAACTCGTTTCCTCCGTACAAGGGAGTGGTCGCCATCGTCATGTCCTGGTTCATCGCTCCCGTTATCACCGGCCTCGTGTCCGCGCTCATCTTCTTCATCGTCCGCACTGCTGTCCTCCGCCGCAAAAATGCTTACGCCCTGTCATTCTGGACTCTTCCTCCTTTCGTCCTCATCACCACATGGGTCAACGTGTACTTCGTCTTCACCAAGGTTCGCCATATCTTCTGCTACTCGTCTTCATGTTCCCTTTGCTTGGACTGTCTCCAGTCGAGGAGACACAATTCGGGCGACGAAATTGGGTTGTGCAGGAAGAGAATTTACAAGCCAGACCGTAGATTCTGAGGGTGTATTGACGCTGGATGTTTCAGATGTTGTTGAGCTTGGTGATTACGTTCTAATGTTCGGGGCTGTCTGAAACTTTTCAGGGTGCCAAGAAGACACTGTCGTCGTCCTCGGACTGGACGGACTCCAAGGCCGCCTGGGTGTCGGCCGTCATCGCTGTAGGAGTTACTATTCTGTGCATTTTCGTTGCTCTTCCGCTTTTGAGGAGGATGGCAAGCAATCACTTCGACAGGTGAGGCCCGAGCTCCGGACATTTGAGTTTGGACTTTCAAAGTTTCTGCTCGGCTGGGTGTCATCGGTGCTCTTCTCAGCATTCTGACTCTGTCTCTCGTCCATGTTACCCTCGTTTGCAGCGAGGGCAATCCCATTCAGGGAATGCCTACAGCCTTCTCCCCGCAAACCGCCTCCGAGATGAGAACTCCCGAGCAGATCGCAGCCGGTTCGAACCAAGTGTCTCCCGTCGATGCCGAGCCCGCTCAATTGACAAGATGGCAGAAGTTCAGCAAGGCAGCAACTCACGGCATGGACGTGGATATCCACAAAATCGTCAAGACGGACGACAAGATTCACGAGATTCACGAATCCGCTGAGCTCTTCGAGCCTCGTGTGGAATACGCCTTCAGCTACTTGCAGGTCTTCTCAGCCATCTGTGTCATCTTCGCCCATGGGGCCGGTGAGGTCGGATACATGGCAGGTCCGCTGGCCACCATCTGGGACGTGTACAAGAAGGGTCAGCTCTCGAAGAATGTCCAGCCTCCAATCTGGATCATCCTCATCGGTGCCATCGGTCTCGTCATCGGCCTCGCCACTTATGGATACAATGTTACCAGAGCTATGGGAGTGAAGCTCGCGAAGCTGACACCCACCAGAGGATTCGCTGCCGAGCTCGCCACAGCCTTTGTGATCATGATCGCCTCTCAGTACGGTCTGCCCACATCGTCAAGCCAGTGCATCACCGGAGCCATCATCGGAGTGGGTATCCTGGAGGGATCGAAGGGAGTCAACTGGACCCAATTCTTGAAGCAGTTCGGTTCGTGGGTGGCCACATTGTTCGTCATCGGTCTGGCTGTGGCCGCCGTGTTCGCCCAAGGAATCTACACTCCCAGCAAAATCCAAGGAAAGGAGGTGACCATGTACGAGGATCGTGTGACCAACTTGACCACGCAAGTGTACAAGGACTTCAACTCCAGCCTCCAGAGCTACCGGCCAGTTGCTGCCCAAGGCCTCCTCGTCAACCTCCCCAACACCACCTGGAATGAGCTCAACGCCACCGTAGCCGTCAATGCGAATGCCGCGAAGAATTTGATAGACCCCAAGAAAGCCCAGTCAGGTAATTAACTATGTGAGCAGGAATCTAGCTCTGTGTTGATGGTCGTTTTGCTTCTCGGGCTTGATATCAGGGGTGCTTCGTTCTGTAGTCCATCACCTCATGGCTGTATTTTCTTACGTTGGAATTCATGTTCTTGTTGACAACAGTTGCAGTGGAATCCATCCTTGATGCGCTTTACAAGTCACTGTCTCTGGTTCAAAATAACAGCGTCTTCACTCTGGGACAAAGTACAGTTTTTCCTGGAGCTGAGATCTGTATAGATCCTTCGACGACGAATTTGACGACGGTTGCTTGCACCTCACCGAAGCTTCTTCCATCATTCGCTTTGAAGACCTAGTCGGTCTAGGCATAGTTTCCTCGGAGAGAGCTTGAACATTGAAGGTAGTGAGTGGAATACATTCCAGATCTAGACATATTTATTCAACTTGAAAATTTGATTTTGTGTGAGCGTTGCTGTATCGTTTACCCCAGTGCGGTGACAAGACCGGAACAGATGAGGAGAAGTATACGTGGTCAGCACTGCTCTTTCAGAATACCTGCCGGCGATTTGTATAGAATTTACTTTGTGATCTGTTCGTTAACATGATGGGAAGGCTCCGTATTTCCATTTTCATAAGAATAGGGGATTATATATTAGTAGCTGTTAGCAGAAATGTGCACACCGTTGTTTATTGAAGTTCACGTGAAGCTGAAGCTCAATGATGATGAGCTTCGCTGAAGATGAGCAGATGAGCTTCGCCTAAGCTCATCTGCGAGTGAAGAAGATTCAGAGCATGCAGCTGTGGAGATTCCAGATTTTGCAGAAGTCGATGGACAGATGACAGGTCCTGCGTACAGAATTGATTCCGGCCAATATTATCAGAAGTAGATTTATTAGGGAGAACTTGAATTCTGGGAACTTGAAATCAGGAATGGAGGTTGTAGACACAAAGCGTGTAGAAAAAAAAAGACAGACGGATAGTGTTAGCAATCACGATGGTGCCAAACGGTTCAGTTGATTTTAAAGTTACGAAGCGCCAACTTACCAATTTGTGTTCCATTGGCCGATAATTGCTAGAGAAAGAGCTACGAGCTTGTTCGGGGTTTCCCAATGCCTAGATCGTAGAAGTTTGACGAGTGTCACATTATTCATAAATCAAGCGTCATTCGAGGCTCGTAGGTGTAACCCCTGGTTACTATATTAATGTACGAAGCAATTTGTACCACTCTGCTTCTGATCACATCTTCATTTGTTTATTGACATTTTCTCCGCGTAGGTATCCCTAGTAGTAGATGGAATGGTTCCATGTTGTTCCTAGTTCTTCTGCTATCAAAGAGTAAAATTTACTCGTTTGCTAATCCCATCAAACCTAGGTATCAGTCGATTCGATCCCAACTTCTACGTTGAAAATACAGGTATAAAATGTTACCTTTATTTTCAATGTTTTCATATAGTTCTTTAGTAAAGTGGTCTAGCCATCAGGTGATCTTTTGTGTTCTTTCAGAGATTCATCCACCACGATGTATCAAAGAAGTTAAGTCTGCTCAGTATTTATAACCTTTTATCTTGCGTGATCTGGAGTTTATTTATGGAGGAAATGGAGTCAAAAATTGACAACGGCCAGCTACATTAGGGACCTTGGAGTTGACAAATGTTGCCATGTTATCAAATTTTATCCTATACTCAGAACCTTCTCGTTGTTCTAATATCTTTCCTCTAATATAATGCTAAAATATGTTTTGCAAAGCGTCATTATCTTATCATAGTGACTCAGAAATATTTTGTCGCAGTGTAGGTTATACCAATAGGATCTTGAATTCAAAAGCTGTAAATCACAAATTAAATCCTTAGACATTATCCAAGAAGTACACCGAAGTACTATTGTATTTAATTTCAGTAGTCTCATTCTAGTACTTTCGTCTTAGGTCTTTTTTTGGTTAGAATTAATCTATCCGGACATAGATTGGAAAAGTCAAAAGCTAACGTATTGAATCATAATTTTTCATATTTTGTCTAGACATACTAAAAGTATTACAAATCCGTGTTCTTACCAATTCCAAGGATTCAAGGTCAAAATTACGTTGATGATCGTTGATCTAGTCTTTATGACTGCTGCCAAAAACGTGAATATGGTTGTAATTTATGCAAATCCGACATCTCAACCCGTTCAAGAATCAACCAAATTATAAAAATATATGAGAAATATCAAAACGTGTTTGAGAAGAAGAATGCTGATACATTTCCTCGGCATTGATTTTATGATTGTGGCATTGAAATTCATGAAGATGCTCAACGTACCTTTAGTCCAATCGGACATCTCTCCCATAACAAGCTTACTGCATTGTAATATTATCTTGATAAAAATCTCACAAATTTTTTTATTCAACATCTCAAGTAATATGCCGAAGCTCCTTCCGTATTTGTCTAAAGCTCGTGTTTCATATGACAAGAAGATAAACGAATCCAAGTGTGCATTCCAAGTCATATGTTGAAGCTCCTATACTATTTGTCTAAAGCACCTATTTTATTTGACAAGAAGAAAAAAAACTACTTTGGATCAAACAAGATCACAATCAAGAATCCGTACCCTTTGTTGCTTATTTCATGATTATTTGACCAACTCTGTCAAGCAAAGATTCTTACCAAGTGATCCAAGATTGATCTTGGAACATATTATCTAGTATGTATCTAGTAAGGTTACAAATGAAATATTACGTTCTGAAGTAGATATGAACACTGTGTATACCCCTAAACCCTATACAATGTCATACCTTTTGGTTTTACCAATGCACTTCTCATCTTCCAACACTTGGTAAACAACATGTTCCAAGTAATTATAGACAATTGTTTTATCTGTTATCCCGACTACATATTGGTTTTCATCTATAATGAAAGAAAAAATCACATCAAGTATGTTTTACTAGTACTGGAGAAACTGCCATTGCTCGAATATATTTGAAAAGAAGCAAGTGCGTTTTTCATCAATTCAAGTCAAATTCTTTGATTACATCATTGTTGGAGAGGATATATTCATGGATCTAAAGTAGATTCAAATAATCATTGATAGAAAGAACTCGTCTACTGTTTGGTACGTACAATGCTTTCTTGATTTTAAAAACTTCATACAAAACTATTTCAAAATTGTTGCTTCATTGATACACATGAATTGCAAATACAAGCGGAATGCGGAAGCAGAACAAACATTGAAATAAAAAAAATCATAATTAAAATGAAGTATATTCTAGTGCATCTTGACTTCTAGATGTCGTTTTTCGTCATCAAATTATAAGAAAAACAATTTAATGCTTCTTATTTTGTCTTTGAAGAGTTTATTTCACATCTCCATCCTATTCTGTATTATTTGCAAAATTTTACTGCTATAGATATTAAAGATGAGATACATAAATACACAAGAAGCTCTTAGCCATTTTTGACTTGTTTCAAGAATGGCATCATTTTCTCAAAGGAGCTTAACATCAGATCATGGTCTAAATCGATCACAAGAACTTCAAGTACTTCATGTCTGCAAATGTATTGAATTGACGACAAGCTCATTGGAGTTATTGATTTTGCGTTTGAACTTTGTTATCACATATCGACCTAATTTTGAGCAAACCCATGCCGACACTCTTTCCTTTGCATCTAAGAAAGGAGATGCAGCTTATGATCAACTAAAAATTACCCTTATCAAACCTGAATAACTTCACGTTTAGACCTTGCCCATCTCAACTTTAGTGGCTGTATATTGTCTCCAAAATATTAAAATAAGTTTACAATCTCATATTTTGGCCTTGAAATTGAAGAACCATGTCAACATTTCAAATCGTGGAGAAATTTTCACTCTAGACTGTGAAGTTCCTAACTTAGTGATTATAGATTCAAAATTTCAAAAATAATATATTTTCAGTTCATAAATTTCCAAAACGAATGAAACACTCCGAGATGATGATGATCAAAGAATTTTTGTTTCATGATGGATGGTTATAGTACAAGGGATTATTTCATCTCCTTGAAGTCTCGTGCCGAGTACAAATGTTTTAGTCTCAACACAACTCTTCATCCGTTGAACACTTTGATTACAACAAGATCATGGAGTTAATATTCAGAAACTGTTGGTGGTCACAAATGTGTAACTCCATGAAGTACTATCTCATAACATGTGACATATGCTTCAAGATCGCACTATCATGGTGGGTAGTGTTTTTGCCAAGTTGTTTGGCAAATTGGTGGAGTCAAAGTTGAGCACATGGACTGAATCTCATCGAAAGAGAGCGCGGTTTCAACTAGGTTTTTGCCCTACATACAACATCATTGATCATATCTTGGCCTTGCGTGTTTTATGGAAGAAGTCGAAGGGCAATGAAAAAGCTTTGTTTTGCGCCTTCATTGATTTTAAGAAAGCTTTTGACACCGTACCTCGTGAGCTATTATGGAAAGGTTGCAAGTCATTAAGGTCCCTTATAATTATAAGGTTGCAAATCTTATAGCAGTAGTGGCCATGTTGTACCATTCTGTTCAAGTCAAGATCAACACTTCTCAAATTGAAGAGGTTTTGAGTACCATTGGAGTGATTCAAGCTTGTCCTCTATCTCCTACTCTTTTTGGAGTTTTTATAGATGATATCGAAGAGTGGTTAGAGGCATGTGATAGTGAAGGTGTCAAGCTTGGAAACTTTGTTATCAAAGCTCTCTTGTATGCAGATGATATCATATTACTAGCACGTGATGCAATAAGTTTACAGAAACACCTATACACTTTGGCTAGCTTTTGTACCCAGAATCAGATGGAGTTAAATATAGAGAAGTCTAAAGTCATGATAGTGAGCACTAGATCCAAGTTTTACTTGTATTACAAGGATCTACAATTAGAAGAGGTGAAGATTTATAAATATCTAGGCATTGATTTTTTCTAGTGATTATATTTGGGCACTTCGCGTGCAAAAGAGAGTTGAAGGTGGTTACAAAGCTCTATATTCATTGCTAAATAGTTGTAGAAGGCTCATCTAGTGTCTTTGAGACTTAGGAAATTTTTATTCAGAAGCTTAGTGTTGCCGGTAGTATTGTATGGAACCCAAGTGTGGGGTTTTGGTTGTAAGAAGACAGGTTGAAAATGTGTGGAGAGGGTGCAGAAGATATTTCTATGGAGCGACAACCTACGGGGGGTTTCCGTCCGCATGTAGATAGGTGGACCGTCCACGATTGGGCGCAGGCATTGGGGAGGTGTGCCGGCAACGACGGGTACCTCCTATTTGATAGTGAGAGCGTCAAGGTGTCGAAGCAGGACAAAGCGCAATTCGTGGAATTGTTCAAGCGGGGAAGGTCTTCCAAGAATGGGTACAAGACCCGCGACTACAAAGATCGTTTCCGCAGGACTGTAGCGGCGGCGCTGCTGCAATTGTTGCAGCCGCACCGCACCTCGTACATCACTTTGTGGCAGGTGTCTTTTGTGGAGCTCACATTAGCCGGAGCTCCAGTTCACTGGGCGCGCATCCTACATAGGGTGATGCGACAACACGCATATGAGGAGAAGGGGGGACTCTCAATCACCTCTCCCCTTTCTTGATAAACTTTTATCGACAGAGGAATTGTTTGACCGCGGCGGAGCTTGCTCGTTTTCCGCCATTGTCCGTCGACCATCCCGGGAAGTATGTGCGAAATAACGAAGTCGACACCGACGCAGAGGACTCGCCAACTTCTACTCCACCGACTCAGCGGGACGAGGGAAGAAACACATCCGCAGCAAGAGTGCCGCGGAAGCGAAGATGGAGAGAGGAACCAGAGGAGGAGCAACATAGAGAACCCACTGCTCCCATACGGCAGCGGCCACTGCACGAAGTGTGCAGCCGGCCGAAGCAGAAGGCGCGCAGACTCGTGTTACCAGCCAGCAGCGCGGACACGGCGACGATCGCCACGGAGAAGGGAAGTGCGTCCCCGGAGAAGGACGGGAGTGCGCGGACGTCCGCAGGAGCGGTGGACCACGCTACGCCTCCGGCGGACAAGAGACGGCCTTCGGGTCAGGAGTTACTACGTGCGGTGCGGACGAGTGTGCCGCCTACGCACAGGCAACTCCCAGCGGATAGGCGACCTCTTGCATGCGTGGACCTCTGCCTACGCGTAGGCAGGGAAAGTTCGCCTACGCAGAGGCGGCCGCCTACGAGTAGGCAGGATTCACCCCCGGTACAACGTAGGAAGGGGAAGAAGCCGGCGGAAGATCCGCCTTCGGGT